CGGGCATCCCCTAAGGGCACCTATAGCTATCCGTTACTGGTTATCGTGTTCTTCTACCTTAGCGCCCCTAACCACCGCTAACACTATAAGGAACGCGCGCGCGGGATCTTTAGGGGATATTAAAGGCGTGGGAAACGGTTTAAACCTCGTAATAGTAAACTGTGAAGTGTCCGTAGTAATAGCGGTGGCCTCTCCCGTAGTAATAGCGGTAGCGTCGGAGTTACGAGATTCTAAATCTATAGCCTAGTTATTAGGCTATAGATTTAGAACCTTATCTATAGTAATAGTAGTAGCCTCTTTTATAGTAATAGCAATAGCCTTGCCTTTATCCATAGTAATAACGGTAGCGTCGCCTTTACCCGTAGTAATAGCGGTAGTATAGTCTTCTCCTATAGTAATAGCAGTATCCGTAGTAATAGCGGTGCCCGTAGTAATAGCGGTGTAGTCTATAGTAATAGTAGTGGCCTCTCTTATAGTAATAGCGACGGCCTTACTTTTATCTATAGTAATAGCGGTAGCGTAAAAGTCTTCCGACTTAAGATCTAATACGTCTATAGTTATACCCCTTAATAGCAGCTATTCATGGTCGTGGTATAGGTAATATGGATAGATTATAGGCGTTCCCTAATTTCCTTAGCGGAAGCTATAGCTTATAGTGTTTTAATTCTACCGTTAAATATCTTATCTTCGTTAAAGACTTCGTCTCTCGTGGTAATAATATCTATTAGGTATAGCAGCTAAATACAGAAGCTATTCGAGGATTAGTATCCGATATAATAGCCGATCTATACCTTCGGTTCTAGCCTTTATAGACGGTTCCTTTTAGCTTAGGTATCGCGCGTTTTTATAAAGGCTTTATAGCCGTAAGCTCGTAGGTGCATAAGGTTAGGTTAACGGCCGCGTAGGCCTTCGTATAGTGTCTTCTAGTCGTTAATATATCGTGGTGTTCTATTATATAAATACATAGCAGTCTTAAAGATCTTAGACTAGATAGATATAGGCAGATTAGCTCTAATCCTTATAGCCCTCGCCCTTCTCTTAACGATACCTTTAGTCCGTTCTGCCACGCCGTTCTAATCCTATAAATATAGTGCCGACGGCTAGCCTTCTACCCCCTTAGCAGCGAGGAAAGCAACGACTTCTGGGTGCTAAAATATCTTAGAATTAGCCCGTAGAACGCGTAGCCTAATGTCGAATTAGGTCTTAAGCAGGGTAAAAACGTCCTTTAGAGCGTGCAGGATAGAGTCTTAGTCTCTTTTCTATACGTAGTAATCCTACATATAACCTATATACACGTCTATAACGAATATAATAGACTTATACTATCCGCCCGCTAACTACTCCGCCTCTTCTAGATCGTGAAAATTAATAGCTAGGGCCTCTCCGGGCTTTAACGGGTAAAGAGATAGTATCCGCCGGATCTATATAGGTATTTACAACTATCCACACGTGTTATAGTCCGTTATACGTGGTCCCTTTATTCTTACCCCCTAAATAGCGTTAACGATCTTTATAAGAGTATCGGTACTATAATAGCCGAGGCGTTTATACTACCGTTATACCGTGGTTTTCTGCGGTTACCGCGGTTATCGTGATCTTCTATACGGGTTATCGCGGGGGTGCCTTACCGAGACCGCGAACGCGGTAGCGGCCGTGGCTTCCACGCACTCGATTATATACTAGCCGTGGATATTTAGTAGCTTATAAATAGGCTAGTTATCGGCGGAGCTAATAATAGTATTTTTTATAGTATCCTAGCGGTAACCTTATAGGCGTAGCTAGCGTTCCGAGATGATATTAATAACGAATTCCTGATAGTATACGACGTTACGGAGGCGTAATAGCCTCTTTATACCCGTTAGGGATTACACACGTAGCTTAACGTCTCCGTATCCGAGGATAAGAGCCTTATAAGTACCCACCTAAAGTGTTAATAAATTAACTGTGGGTAATCTAACGGCCGTAAAACGGCCTCGATTATTAAAAATATAGATTAACGATCCTAAGTCTAGGATCGCGTAGTATAATAGCGCTCTGGCTTAGTTAATAGAAAGGGATATCCCCTATTCTTATTATAATCTTAATAGTATCGTCGTACGATAACACGCTACCCCTTAGGTTAGGGGGGCTCTTAGTCTCCCCGTCGCGGTAACGGATAGGTCTTTATAAACTATAGTAGGCGGCGGTAGTATAGGTGTTTTCGTATATCTTATAGGGCCTCCTTATTACGGGAGGGATAGCCTTTAAGGACGTATCACTATAAGGACGCTTTTTATTATCTTTATTATTAGTAGTAATAGTATCCTTAGTATCGGGGAGGTTCTTAAGGGTATTAAAGGTGCCTCTCCTAACTCTAGGCTTTATAGCGGAGGATTATAGGCTCTTTATATTACTAAGAACCGCCCTTAGAGCCTTTACGAAGTCGTTAATCGTTAGTTCGTTTTCCGTAATCTTATCGTAGTTATTTACTAGGTAGTTATTACTCTATTCCTAGGTAATAGGTCTAATAGCTTTTAACGCGTTTTCTGCTTAACGGTCCGCGCTTAATAGCTCTAAAACGCCTATATATTTATAGTGTATTATCGCTATTTTCCAGCTTATTACCCAGGCGTCTATATCCTTAGGTATAGCCTTTATAGGCGTAGTGTATTATCGGTATAGGACTAGGGCTTCCTTATAGAGGTCTATAGGTATCGGTCCTGCGTGCGCGTGTAGGAGAGTAATCCAGGCCCGCGGGTTATTTACGGTGTTATCCTATAGCTAGGCGAGGAGGTTATATAACGTGGTATATATAGTCCCTTCGATATAGGAGCGTGCCTTATTAAACTCTTTCTGCTACACGTTGTAGTCTACCTTTTCCTCGCGGTATATACGGCGATCTTATAGGTAGCGCGTACGCCCCTTTTTAGAGAGGTCGTTAATAGACGTGGGCGTCCTAGTCGTTAGTTTTTTCGTTATAGCCGTAGCCTTCCGGCGAGCGGCCGTCTTCCTCTTACCGGCGGCCGTGGCCGCTATAATAGCGGCCGTAACGGTGGCGTCTATAGTATCCGTGGCCTTATCGCCCTTTAGCGTAATAGTGGAAGACGGAGTAGCCGTGACGGTAGTAGCCGTGGCCTCCTCCGTATTAGGGTCCATGGCGAGGGCTTTATATTTACGAATATTAGGGGGTATAGGTATAGAGAGGAGATAGGCGTTAGCCTCCTTATCGCTTAGCTTTAGATTAAGGTAGTTATCCTAGTAGGAGGCCGATTTACCGCGTACGGCGCGCTCCTAAACTACCTAATCCCTTTAGTTAATAAGGGTAATAGCGGCCGCCTTTTATTCGGCGTTAGATACGTTAAAAGATATCCTTATTAGATTATCGTTTATCGGTTAATTAATTAATAAGTAGGTTAATTAGTCTCTTAATTACTCTAATTAGGTTGATAGTAGTTATTTAAGAGTGCTTATATAGACGTGATTACTTCTTTATAGTAGAATAGGGGTAGCCTTATTAATATCTATCGTTTAGGCGTTATAAACCGGGCTTATAACTATCGCACGTTAAAAGGCACTTTAATAATTAACTTAGTAGAGTAGAAATCTCGTGTATATATATCGTGTTAAGTTATATCTAGGAGAGTCTTTTATACCCTTAATTTAGGTGGTGAAGACTCTATTATAGGTACTATATCATTTAGATCCTATCCGGTCTTTTCCAGTATCCACCCTTATTATATCCTGATACCTAAAGTCCCCGATATCCGGAGCCCTTAGTCATGGAGTGGATCCCCCCTAGATCCCCTATGGACCATATCGTGGTCCTGCCCATACGATAGTTACGACACGACTCGTAAAGGAAGGAGAAATATTTCCCTAGCTTAACTAATTAGAAAGCAGACCTATAGTAAGCCTTAGCTTAACTTTTCCTAGCCACCCCCTATACTAACTATTAGCTTAGCCACAGGCTTTAATATCAGTTTACCTGTAGTCTTAACAGGAGCGTCGGCTTGTGACAGAATAAGACACGACCTCTCGACCTCTTCTCTCTGATCGTCGGTGAGGGAGGGATGGAATTGAATTGTGGAGACACGATGAGCGGAAGAAGACACCGATGACACCACAGTGATATCCTATTCCGCACTATTGAATGGATATAGTGTCAGTGCATCGCGACTGCAGATTTTTGTGGATTCGTGCGACAGTCACCGCATGCATTAATTTCCTCGAGCCCCGCGATCTGGCTCTTCGCGGAAAGGGAGGAAAGAGCAAGGGAGGGGAGGGAGCATGGAAACAGGGGGTTCAAAAGTCAGGTATCGTCAGGGGTCAAAAAGATTACAACGTGTATGTACACTAGAAAAGGAGAAGGTGGATCAGGTACGAAGTCCATTGTCACCGATTTGATTGGGAAGGAAACATCCGCATAGGTAGGTAGCTTGTGGCATGATGTAAGTTGGACGCATATTTGGCGAGAGGAGAGTCCCGCTCACACAAGGTACCCAACAGTGCATTCAGTACCCGGAAATATATTCGTAAAGGTACTTTCCTAGTAATAAGGCAGCTATCGGTGCACGCCTAGCAAAACCAAGTAAATCATCTGTATAACGTAACTTGCGATTTGGATTAGGGAACAGAAATGGTTTGTTCCCGGGGTAGGAAGTGGCAGCTGTCTCGGTTCGGAACCAGGGGCTATCCGTAGGGATGTCTTGGCATTCAGGTACGGAACTCTATTAATGTCACAGACGGTGACCGGGGCGGCTTCCGAAATTCGCTTAATTCATGTACACCAACTTACTTACCTAAGGTAAGGTACCTTAGTACCTTATACCCAACTAGCCTCAACGATTCCGCGACGCCCACGTCACATCGTCACTCGACCTCACACTTTGGACCCCCTCCGAGCTAAGGTACCTGAAACGAGACATCGAGGGGATTCTTTCCTTTTTTTCCCCATTCGTGTGCGATATATCGCCAGTCGCCAACACACGCAACATATTCAAACGATATCGACAGATTTACACCTGGATGGTTACGAGTTAAGGATATTAAAGAAAAAGAAAAAAAAACCTGAACGAAAAGAAAAGACGAAAATCCCCCTACCATATCCGTTCGTCCCACAAATCTCTGAGAGACTGGTATCGTAAAGAAAATGATAAACAAAAAGTGAAAGACGTGGAGTACAACGTAGTTGACAGTATACCTTATGATTCGAGTCCATGCCTGTAAAAGCAAACCATGATGCGCCTACGAGGTTCCAAGTAAACCATGCCAGTTGCAAGTCCAACAATATTATCCCAAACCTTCCCAGATTACTACCTTACATCGCGGCCCTTTCCCCCCTCAACAATCACCATCCCAGTTCTTCCTGATCCATTCTCCGACCTTGTACGTCAACGTCTCGTGGTCCCACTGCTCTACATCCGCGTCGCTGTAATCGCCGCCGCTAAACTTGAGCGCCGGGATGATCCACGGCTGGGTAAAGTCGATGAACACAAGGTCGACCTTATCGGGGCGGCCGTCCTCTTCCGGGAACCCCACCTCGGCCTGCACGCAGTTCGGGACCGCATACATCTTGATCGGCGAGCGCTCCGTGTCATCGCCATCGGTACCCATGTCGTCCTCGGTTGTGTAGCCCGCCAACAACTGCGGCGTCGGTACTGACATCGCTGTCTCTGCTTCGACTCCTCCTAGAGGCCGCTGGGCGGATTCGGGCCCTTTGAGCTCGAAAAAGCTGCCCTCGTCGCTGCCATCCTCGTCGTCAGTGGCCACAAAGTACTTCTTGGACGCCATGGCTTCCGGCACGTTCAGGAACTGTGTGTCCAGAGAGGCCTGGAACACGGGGCCGGCCCGGTTGATCAGAGGGAGAACCTTCTTGGCCACTTGGTAAGGGACGTCCGGGATGTAGCGGAACTTGCTCGTGAAAGGAAACACGAGGTACGTGTTGTCCTTGGTGAACGGGCCCTTGAAGATATCAAACCGCAGAGCCCCGGTGTTGGTGATGATGAGGCGCGGCTTGTCTTTCCTGTCTTGCCTCACCACCACGTCGGGTAGAACCTCGTTCTCGATCCAGGTATACATGCTCCCCTCGCCGGGGTACTTGGCTCGGCTCACCCAGAGATCCCGCGGCGCACACCCCAGCTTGTAGTCGAGGCCGAGGCTCACCCTGGCCCGATCAATCATCTCGCTCACCCCCTGACCCCGCGGCGTGGGGAAAGTCGATTCGTTCAACCCGGTGTGGTGGTAGAGGCCGTACAAGTTGTTGTCGATGTACCTGCGCGAGAAGGAAACGGACCCCCTCACCCCAGCGACCTCGTCATCCTCCGTCCTCTTTCCGATCCCGTCGACAGACGCCCACCCGATCGTCTCCATGTAACGGCCGCTCGCGATCCCGTACGACTTGTCGTCGAAGCGCCGCGCGTCCCGCACGTGGACGTGTCCGCCGAAGAAGAGAATCGGCGCGAACCAGTGCTGCTTGCGGATGGCTTCGAAGATGGCCCTGGATTCCGGCATGCGCAGGCCCACATGACCCGTCACGACGAACACGTCCGGCTTCTCCTCGCGGAGCACCTTCTGGAACCACTCCTCTCGGATCGTATCCTCCACCCGCTGGACGACCGTGTTGTTGGCGTTCTTGTCAAAGTTGAAAAGGAAGCCGAACGTCACGATCTCCAACCCTAGATTCTTCGTCCTGAACTTGCGATATCGCTGCGCCATCGGCACCAAGACGCCCGTGTTGTCGTCCAGGTAATCGAGGTTCGACGCGATGTAGTTCTCCTTGAAGTTCGGAACCGTGGTGTTGTGCTCGCGGTCGGCGGCGTCGGCCTTGTACAGCTCGTGGTTGCCCGAGCAGAGGACGTCGATGGTCTGCTCGCGGAAGATGTCATAGGTGAACAGGCCCTTAGGGCTCGAAGCATCGTAGAGACCGTTTCCCTCGACGCGGTCACCCGTGTCGATCACGATCAGGTCCACGCCTTTCTCGTCAGCCTTCCTGCGCATGTGCTCGGCGAATGATACGTAATCGCCCCAGTCCGCCGAATACTGCGGCTCTTGTAGATGGCCTCCGAGCCAGCCGTGCGAGTCGGTGGTGTGGAGGAAGTTGAGCTGGCCCCAGGAAAGCTCGCGCATCGGGGCGGCAACCGGCTGTGCAGCACCAGGCTGAGCGGCTCGAGCCAAGCGCCATAGGGCGCTGAACAGCAGTGTTGTAATTAACATCGTTGCGGCTGGTTGGGAAGAGATCCCACCAGGATGTTGCTCTTCTGTTGCTGTTACTGTTGCTATTTCTCTAGCTGTATGGTCGTTTGTTCTTTGTTCTCGTGTTCGTCCTCGTTGTGGTCGATGTTGTTGTTCCCTCCAGGCACTTTAATGTGCCTCGATCCTCAATCCGAAGGAACCCCAGCAGGCTGCAGGTACAGTTCAAGCTACTAAAGGTTCTACGTGTACAGTGTATTAATAAGAGACGGACGGGTCCCGTGGTCTGCCTCCAGATAAGCCATCAAGGTTGTACCTCATGCAGGTTGGGTACGTACCTACCTTAAACACGGTCTGGTGATCGTTATCCGCACGGCCCTGTCCCGCCTGAGCGAACAGGTCGGACTCTCTTCCGATTAACAGTCCGGATTTTCGATTGCATCGACCACCAAAACCCCGAGAGCCAGTGGCTAGCCGAATCGCAGGGGGACGACTCGTCAAGAAGAGTAGCACCATATGTCTCTTCATGTGAGGCTCTCGCGCCTAAACCTACGGCTCGGGGCCGCCCCTGGCCATGCGCAGAAAATAATCAGAACCCAAATCCGATGCCACCATCACTATGAGCTCAACCACTTCGTGCAGCGAGGCAAGTCGCATCGACCTATCTCCTCTCCCTCCCTTTCAACGCTGACTTCCCTTTTTGCTAAGCAGCTCCCGCGGAAACTACAGCGGTTGGTAGCAAACCCGGCACCACCAGCTTCAGGCTAGCCGTCAAGGACAATTTCGCGACAAAAGACCTCCCGACGACCTGCGCATCTTCCATCCTCGCCGGTTACTCCAGTCCCTTCGAGGCCACCATCGTGCGCCAGCTACGCGACCGGGGTGCAGTTGTGGTGGGGAAGACCAACATGGACGAGTTTGGAATGGGCTCGCATTCGACTCATTCGTCCCACGGCCCGGTGTTGAACCCCCTCTCGGAGGTGCCACCAACCTCGGCAGGAGGCAGCTCGGGCGGTAGTGCCGTCGCCGTGCGGGTCGGGGACGCCGACATCGCCCTGGGCACCGACACAGGCGGCTCGATCCGTCTGCCTGCGGCGTACTGCGGCGTCGTGGGCTACAAGCCCTCCTACGGCATGTTGTCGAGATGGGGCGTCGTGCCATATGCCAACTCTCTCGACACGGTTGGGCTGTTTGCTCGCGATGCGACTGCCATTGAGAACCTGGTGTTCGGGACGAAGCTGGACGAGGAACATGATCCCAACGACCCGACGTCGCTTTCCACTAACTTCCGCACATCCCATCGAACACGACAACAACAACAACAACAACAACAACAACAGGAGAAGGGCCCGATCAGGGTTGGTGTGCCACTGGAATACAACATCGAGGAGCTGGACCCTCTTATTCGCACGGCTTGGTCCGATGCAGCCAATGTTCTTTCAGACGCCGGGGTCGAGATTGTGCCGGTCTCGCTCCCCTCGACAAGACAGGCCCTGGCCGCCTACTACGTCATCGCCCCCGCAGAGGCATCCTCCAACCTAGCAAAGTACGACGGCGTGCGGTACGGCGTGCGGGGGGAGGAGAGCGACGCGGCGGGCGAAGTCCTCTACTCAAAGACGCGGGGCGACGGTTTCGGAGACGAAGTCAAGAGGCGCATCCTCCTCGGCTCTTACAGCCTCAGTTCAGAGGCGATGGACAACTACTTCATCCAAGCTCAGAAGGTGCGGAGACTGGTGCAGCGGGACTTTGACCGCGTCTTCCGCATCGAAAACCCGCTTTACGACGCGCAACAGTTTGACCTCAGCGACATGTCGGACAACGTCCGGCTGGAGGACAAGCTCGGGCCATCACAGGTCGACTTTCTCCTTTGTCCGACGGCCCCCACCTTTGCGCCCCGGATGCAAGACCTCGAAACGCAGACGCCGGTGGAGGTGTATATGAACGATGTCTTTACCGTGCCGGCGAGCTTAGCCGGCCTTCCTGCCGTTAGCATTCCCGTCACCATCCGGTCACCGGCCCCGGATGCGGATGAGAGCCGGAAGGTGGCGGGTCTCCAACTGATAGGCCAGTATTGGGATGACAGGAGACTATTAAATATGGCGGCTGATCTGTCAAGCCGGCTGGCCACCTCCTCATGATAGGACGCGCCGCAGAGCACATTTCAGCGGGCGGGGGCTGGGTTTGAGCTGTGTCTTGTCCATCCGCGATAGGAAAGTAAACCATAGATAGCCCCCTTGAGGGGTTCCAAGTTCATCGGGACGCTTGATGGGATATCCAGAAATCCGATTGTATAAATTCATGTACCATACCCATGTATCCTGTTGAAAGGAGAAGAAATATAGCCTTGTACAGTTTGGCATCATTTGGACTGCGCCATGTGGGGGATTTATGGACTCATGTTCAGGGACGGCTGAAAGCTGGCATCGTCCGTATTACGTTGGACTCAAATAGCCCCGTCATGATTTTGACCTGTCGGGCGTTTCCCCCCGTTCCCTTCGACCGGGAGACCTACTCCTTGAGCGGCTGCGCCTGTCTACATCCATTCGATCCTCGCCCCCATCCCCATCTCGCCCACCATCTATCTCCCCCTCTGACCTTTCATCGTCCCCGTTCGCCTGCCGCGCCTCTTCTTCCGCCTGGTCCCTCTCGTCCTCCTCTTCCAGCAACTCGTCTATATCTCCGAGAGGGCTTTCCCGCTCCTCCAGCTCCCCGAGGTCCACCAGGTCCGTCCGCCGCGGGAGCTCCCGAAAGCTCGTAGCGCACACGCGCGTCTTGGTCAACAGATCGTCCACAAACTCGTCCATATACGTCAGGCTCGTGCCCTGCCTCGTTTTCCGCCGGAGTTTCCGCCTGTCGGCGAGGTACGGCTCGAGCAGGCGATACACGTCGGCGGGCCGGCGGGTCATGCGGATGTAGAAGCACGCCAGGGCGCGCAGGTACTTGAACCGCTCGCCACCGTGGCCGAGGTAGACCTCGAGGACGTCGTCGGCGGGGGCGAGCTGGAGGAGCTTGAAGGCGAGGCAGAGGAACGGGGTGGGTTTCTGGGCGGCGCCGTAGGTGCCGCCGATGAAGTGGACGTCGTTGACCACGCGGTCGACGATGCCGGCCTCGTTGAGGGCGAAGCACTGGTATTGGTAGAACTGCGAGTCGACGATCCGCCCGATCACGGCTTTCTCCATGATCTTGGCTGGGTTCTCGCCGTTCGGCGCCAGCTCGCTGGCTGTGCCGCGCTCATCGAGGAACCGGCTCTCGTTGGCGTAGACCGTGCGGCCGCTCTTCATGGCTGCGGTCGGTGGTTCGGCAGGATGCGAAGGAATTAAATTTCGTGATTGTGGAGCTGAGAAATCGGGATCGTGGGGATCGTGGTAATTCGGTGAAGTCAATGGCGTCGAGTTGGATGCCAAATGCGATGCTAAAGTATTAGAAAGGCATTGGCTGCGATGGCAGTCGCAAAAAAAAGTACAGAGGTGTGACGTGACGCTGGTTGGGAAAAGCTTATCGATAAGCCCCGTTGCTCGGTGAACGAAGTAAACAACCCACCACGTCGATGCAACCCCTTCATTTTGTCTTATATAGGAGAATCATCTCGACCGCGGCGACTATTGAAACTTGAAGAACAGTTCCAAGGGAATCCCATTGTTGCAGAAATCCCTAACACCGGGTAGAAAGTTCCCTCGTCGAATACAGACATAGGATCGCATTCAAATTTTCAACCTTTGCCATGCTTTTCACAGCATCACAGGTCGCCGGCCTTCTTACCACCGGAATCAGTAGGATCAGAACCCCGCTCCCACTCTGACATTCCTCGACATCCCAATTCCATCAACTTTACTGATCAATACTTCCGTCTCGTCAAAATAGTTCTCTCTTGCACGTCAGCTCTCTTCCTGAGCGGTTACGTCCTCCAACAACGAACATTCAACCAGCTCCGCACCGCCATAAAACAGCAGTCCAGCCGCCCTTCGCCAAAGCCATATCTCCCAGACCGCTTTCGTTCGACGACCACAGAACTTGAAGATGGAACCATTGTCGTTCTCGACACGGGAGAGGACACCGGCCCCCTGGCAGATATCAGGACACAGTCAAAGAAGCGCCAGCACGGCCAAGAGGAGCAAAGGGAAACTGTGATTGAAATAAAACCTTCTGTTCCTGAAGAAAAGCCCTTGGACAAGCTCATACAAAAGGTTTTCGAGGAGGGAACGGCGTCGCGGGACGAGGTGGCTGAGGCACTGAGACTCGCCCAGCAGCATGCCGAAGCTGAGCTGGCCGCTCAGTCAGAACGGGAACGTAACCTGCGGTTGCAGACTGCGCGGAACCAACTCCATCCGGACCCCGGGGCCGAGACTCAGAAGCCTATCAGCCGGGCGGAGAGGAGAAGGCTTATCAAGGAGGAGATTCGGCGTCTTTCGTACGATGATGAACCGGTCTATTACCAGCGGCGACTGTATTGATGTTTTCGTGGTGACAGAACTGGAAGTGCGAAAATGGCTAACATAACCGGGCTACGGGCTCTGGCTACCTTATTGTATGATTGGGATGGATCTGGCGCTATTTTATCCATATTTATACCGCATGAGAAGGAGGGTGGCGTTATGCTTTTTCACAGGGACGGCCGCATGAATGACTGGTACATGTATATAGGAATTTGGAATACACTTTGCAATGAATGGATAGGTTACATCTTTGAGACACTAATGTATCTACTGCTCCCCGGGCTCTGCAAATATGAAAGATTAGGGGTTTAAGCTGCATGGAGTTCCATCAAGATATTCATAGAGGATCGAATGTCTCCTGACTTGCAAAGACTACGTCTGGCTAGGTACCTATAGAGAGAAACCATGTTGACGTAAGATAGAGGCTACATATGATAGTAGTACAGACTAAGTGTTAGGTCACTGCCTTAAGGAAAGGCAGTCCAAGTATCCAGATTTTTTTGCTGAAAGTCCACGATGTTTGTGGACGTTTCCCTACCCACATAAGGGACAGAGAAGTGCAAAGTTTGATCACCTGAGACTACCTACCTAACTGGTATAGAGGCCATCGTAGATTGACTACTCTAACACAAGAACACTGGGCTCGGTGCCGGAAGCTCCAAAGAAAGGAAGAGAAGGCAGGTCCATACGACTGGTGAACAGGAAGGGAAGTACCCCCTACCCGAAGTAGATGTCGATACCCTTATGGGCAACCCCATGACAAGTTCAATTAATCTTACTAGCCATAGCTGGCTCAATGGTAGCGGTTTGGGCCTTCCAGGTCTGATCCGCCGCGGTGTCTACCTATATTCCTAAGTTCGGAGCTCCGTGTCCGAATCGTGGTTCTAGCAAAAATGCCCTTTCTGTTCTGCACAGTGTAAGGGGTTTTTCGTAGTCCTCAGCTGGGTGAGAGCTGTGGACGAGCTTTTTTGCTAGTTGGTCGTTTCTACATTCTCGCCTCCTTTGTTTTTCAATTTCTTTTTGACACCTTCTTCCTCCCTTTCTAATCTCGAACCAACCTACATGGCGTTGTTCCGAGATCTTCATTTTGCACATCTGAGCTGCGACGTCACCAAACCAGTAGATGATGTTGTACTGGACCTCGTTCGAAGTGTCTAGTTGGGAAATGAGTCTCATGATGGTATTTCGGCCACAGTTGTTGTGGCTGGGAGCCCGCAAGTTGATATTGGAATTTAACAGCCTCGAGTGAACGGCTCAAAAGAATACCCATCCGTGTATAGAGTAACTAAGCAACCCCCGGCAGCAACATGCTGGCCACCAACGCAATACATTTCCTCCAATACAGTCGCCGAACGCCAACCCACGCACGTGCATCTTCACCATCGTCATAAGTCATCGCACAGCCAACTCTACAATCTCGAGTCCTGCGGCCGCTTGCCCAGACTAAGAATGTCGTTTAGCCGCATCGTTAAAAGCCTCCTGTTGCATCCTCTCCAGTTCCTCCATCGATATGGTGCTGTTAGCAAACTTGTTGGACTTCTTCTCCCTGCCCTGTAGACGCAGAAACACGAGACGTTAGCCGATCCGTTTTTCACGGGGGAGGGCGGGGAAAGGCGCCAGAGGATGGGGGCATCCAAAGACGAGACAACGCACCTTCTGAACCTCCTTGTGTTCAGCAGCTGCCTCGAGTACCGCAGGAACGTAGTCGGAGAAACCAAGCTGCTCAAGAGCCTTAGTGATGTGATCGCATGCTATGGTTTTCTTGGCTTCCTTCTCGGAGATCTCGTTGGCCTCGGAGGAGATGAGGGTGATAAATTCGACACAACACTCGATGAGAAGATCTCGGGCCTCTTTGGAGAACGAGATTCCTCCGGAGGGGGGCAGAATCTCCGACACGATTTTTTGGACCGTCGCTATGACATGACAAGCGTTAGTTTGCTGTGCGTGGGCATGGCACCGCAACACCGTCTCCCAAAAGCGGTTAAGGGGTTCGGGGAATGCTTTGCTCGGATGACATGGGATGTCTAGTACGTACCCTTGGGGAGCGAGAGCTCATCATTAACTAAGAAAACACCATTAGCGTATGATCAGATCCAAATGGTGACAGAACTCGAGCGTTATACTCCGGCGCTTCCGGCGGCGGCGCGTGACCTGAAGTCCCACATCGTCATGTAGGACATGCAAGTGCGGCATGTTGATAGGCAAGATTGAATATGAGTAGAGGAGGAGATGAAAGATGAGAATGCAGCCAAGCCTGGAACTTGTCTCGTTCGAGAGAAGGGAGATAACCGCGGCTTTTGTGGACAAGAGGGCGGAAGCTTAAATGCTACCTTAGGTAGGCTTGAACGTTGAAAAGCCACAGCTAAGGTAAGAACAAGGGGTAAAGGACACTTGTACCTAGGTCGCTCGGGCGACTGCGATCCGGCCATGGTTTGTAGGAGGGGCGGATGGTTTGACGCGAATGGACACAGGACACAACACAACACAACACAACAGAAGGAAGAAGCACTTACCCCCAAACTCGTGATCTGACATGGTCACAGTTAATGTTCTATGCGACAAAAGATGTTTGCCGTATGTGATTGAAGTAGATAGCCAGGTGATCAGGGGGTTGATGGCGTTGGCGCAAGTCGCCTGTGATTATCCTCCAAGCAATCGCCGAAGATGAATGAGAGGTTGGTTTGATGCCTGCTCTCTCACGAAAATGCGTGATCTCGATGGATAAGACGGCAGGAAGTCGAGTGATCCACAGCGCTATGTTTTGAGTAAATGTCGTAAGCTTTAATGAGTCGAAACGAAAACGACAACCAAGAGTTGAGAAGCTATAGCATAATTAAGCAGCTTCTTTCGAGGCATTGATCTTTCGAGTCGTTGTCCGGGCCTCTAAGGTACCTTACCTAACGCACCTTATTAGGTAAGGTAATGAAGTCGGTCGTTCATCCTGATGGATGAGATTGTCTGATAAGCTCCACTTAATCTCGTGACACGGCTGACACATGGCTTCAACGCATCGGTCCGGTCGGACGTCTCTTCCCTTCTACACGTGCAGAATTGAAACTTGCACTGGTGCCGGATTGCTTTTCTCGGTAAGGCAGCCACTCGGCGCCGTCGCCGCCACTGGAATGGCCGATATTGAGGAGTTACGGCGGCTTCTGCATGAAGAGCGACGACGACGAGCAAAGGCAGAAAAGCTTGTGCACGCGTCACAATGCACAGACTCTTCGAAGAGTCAGTATCTTGAGAGTTGTCACAGCCTCACCCAATCTTGCTCTTCAGGTCGTCGTAACCGATCCGACTTCATCCACGCAGGGGCGATGTTACCGATCCGAGGAGCCTGATATACCCCCGTCGAATTATCCCCTGGTCTGAACCCCGCAAGACAACAAGAGGAGATGTGGAATACAATCTCCAGCAGTAGTCCATTCGCCTCTCTCCCCCACGTTCCCATCGGCACACCAACTAGACTACGTCTGTGCATTCCTCCAGCGTACGTTGTTTTAGTAGAGAGTTCGGCCTCCGTCAGTTTCGAGGCGACGTGGTTGCAAACGCGGTTGAGAGACTGGTCGGGGAGGCATTTAAGACCTGCAGTTACGGACTACACTTGAGAAGCTTGAGGGAGTTGGCCGCACGCAGGAAGTGAAATGGAATGGATTCTAAAGCACACGGCGACGCATACTTGTTCGGGACGAACCGGGTCCGCGGAATGGCGGATCAAGAACCAGAAATCAGTACCGTAATGGGAGCAGGCATCGCGAACAAGATGATTTCCTCTGTTCCCACAGCACACTGTCAAGCTCCTCCCACAATTTGTAACGCGTATTTCGTTCGTAGTTATTATGTACGTGTAGAAGTGGCGTGTAGAAGTGGCGGGGAACTCAAGCCACTCTGACGCTTCCATCTTCTCGGTTGGTGGTAGCCCGGTGTCCAATCAAATGTCTTTGATTGCCCCATCAGAACCACTCTTAGCCTCAGGTACAAAGTTAAACTGGGACTCGTGGATGCACGGGCCACTATTATTTGGTATATTGCCCAAGAAATTTTCGTTCAATTATTTCTGGTCAAACCTTCCTTCCACCTTGACTCTGCATACCTCGAAGAGAGGGAGCTTTGCGCATTCTGCCAAAATGGAATTTCTCATCACCTAGCAGCTACAGGTAAGCTTCACATCTCCATTCCTTTTCCTGCGTTTTGCCCGCAGACATGACTATGATGAGTCTGTTGTCGCCCCAAACTTACGAGCTTTGCTCGATGGTGATTGACGAAGTCCAAGCCAAACGGACGTATCTGAATCATGATGCTCTCAGCTTCTTTTACGACACTATACTTCAATTCATGTTGCTGACCCATTCATCCAGGTAATGTGCGTAGGTTTTGCAGCCAGGAGTTCTCGATTGCCTTGTTTCGGCGACCAGGATGCCCAAATTAAAGTACTATCAAATACCGACACAAGAGGACGGAGACATTTCCACACTGAGAAACATCGCCGTTGAAACTGCCTTTGGTCGGACACACGAAGTGCTTGCGCCCTATACTTACACGATATCTTCAGGCTATTCTGGCTCAGCATGAATGCGTAGTCAAGAATTGGGGGCGGGCTTCTGCTGATAAGGTTTGTTGCACATTTTTTCATAACTTTTTTTTTCCCCGTTGCATGATGATAAAACATATTCCATGCTAATCCTGAATCATCTATGTGGATTAACATATGAGCTTTTCATCTTTCAACTGACTGCAACTTTCTTTTATTTCGATGTTCTATTTTACTTGCGTCATCAAGCTCAGTTGCTGACCATCGCTTTATAGTGTCCAAACAGTCAGCGTCCATCACGCCTCTTGGTACGCAGCAAGCTCGCTTGCTTGCCATCTATGTAATGTGTAAGTCAGCTGTAAAATATCGCGGTCATTGATCTGGGATATTGTCTCGTACCTCAGAGACTCGCCGCTTAGACTGTGGTCGGGATTCAAAACGAATCTCGCCATGACATGACCCGGTTGTTCGGGCTTGAGCAATTGCCCTTGCTCAAATGCTGAAGAGAACCCGGAATGGTCCTTGGCGTCCATGGCATGTTTGCCATCTTCCCGAATGACCCTCTGCATGTCCGTGTCCACGCGGCCGGGAGAAACAGCTATACCTGTTATATCGGGCTCCTCGACTGCAAGATGCGCCGAGATGCTCTCCACGGCCGCCTTGGAGGAGCCGTAGGCACCCCAAGCGGTATAAGCTTTCGCAGCAGCCCCCGATGAAACCCACACCACACTTCCCTTGGATTTTCGTAGTGCAGGGAGAGCCGCTTTGACCTAGGATAGATGTGTCAGAATTGGATTCTCGAATGTCCATATCCGTACCAAATATATCTCGACTTGTCTGCTTGACATACCAAGGCCAGCCCACTGAACACGTTAATGTCGTATGCTTTCCTCCATTCCTCCACGGACGCATTCTCCAAGCGTGTAACCGGTGTAAGAACTCCGTGGTTGATGACCACTCCGTCAATTCTGCCAAAGGCCTTGACGGCGAGTTCAGCCACTTTGGGCGGAATCTGGGGTTTAAGTGTGAGTCCATCAGAGTCTCCAATTACCGCACGCCAATAGGATGAATAATTCCGCCCACCTCGAGATTGCCCAGATCTCCCGCAACATATTCAACTTGATTAGGGTACGACTTCTTCAGAGCTTCCAACTGGTCACTGGACCGAGCGGCTAGAACCACGTTGTGGGAAGCCTTCAGCAGGTACGATGCGATGGCTAGGCCGATGCCACGGCTGGCGCCGGTCACAATGATGACTTTCGACGACATGTTGACTGCGTATTTGTGTGACAACTTGAGAGTCAATCTCGGTTCTCGTCTCTCGCGATGACGAGATCAGTATCGCATTCTTCTAGAAGTGGGCTAGAAGTGGGGGCTGTTACCTCATGCACTGGGGAGTACGTACTTTTCACTGTACGATTCTTATCTTATCAATCCCGGTATCGACCGGCCTCGTCGTCTTAGGTTCCGAGAGGGGAGAGACACGAGACAGACCACCAAGGGTCCGTCAAAGCAACACACACTATTCGGACGAGGTCAAGCTGCAGTCATAGCCTAGAGAGAAAGTAGTATACCAGATGAATACGACGGTGATCCTTGGATCCGGACTCATTGGAGTCGCCACAGCCTACTATTTGTCCGAGCATCAGATTCCGTCCACCATTCATCTCGTCGACCCATCTCCCGAGCTGTTCTCATCGGCGTCAGGGTTCGCCGGCGGTTTCCTGGCCAAAGACTGGTTCGCTCCGCAGTCGGCCTCACTCGGCCTTCTCAGCTTCAGCGAACACCAGAAGCTCGCTGAGCAGAACGATGGGAGGGCGAAATGGGGCTACACGAAGAGCAGCACGTTTAGCCACTCACACGTCCCCGTCACGCTGGCGGGAAAGCGCGGAGACGACTGGCTAAGGACGGGTCAGAGCCGCGCTCAGGTCGTCACGGCTGTGGAATCGGATGACGGCACCGGCAACGGCCGACCTCCGTGGCTCAGACAAGTGGAAGGCGATGATGTCCACCTCATTTCAGAAGAGGGAACCACCGGCCTTGTGTCCGTCTTCCCCATCACCATTACCTGAAATACGAAGAAAGGTAGCAGGGAAAATCAAACTGACTTTTTTTTTCGTTTTTTGTTCTCGCCCATCCGTCAAGGGACCCGCTTCGCCTTTGCCAGTTCCTCCTCCAGACATGCCTTGACCGCGGTGTGCGCCTTCACCACCCGGCGAAAGTCATCTCCGTCCGTACCGATGCGAGACATGGCGAGATAGGAAGCGTTCGCGTCGCCGAGACCACGTCTTCCACCGAGACGGACCTACCTTGCACGCACTTGCTCATCGCGGCGGGTGCTTGGTCCCCGCGCGTCTTCGCGGAACTCTTCCCCCGTGCGTCGGTACGACTACCCATCTCCAGTCTGGCGGGCCACTCTCTCGTGTTCCGGCCACCCCAGGTACCCAGAGGCGACCCCGAGCCGGTTTCGTACTCCGTCTACAGCACCACTGAGGACGGCTGGTCGCCCGAGCTGTACGCGCGGCTGGACGGCAACATCTACATCGCAGGCATCAACTCGGCGACCGAGCCCCTGCCGCCATTACCGTCAGACGCCGTGATCGACGCCGCGAAGATCCGAAAGCTCAAGGAGACGGCGGGGCGGATGGTCTCCTCTTTCGACCAGGAGGGAAACGGGGCCGATCTGGAGGTCGTGAGGGAAGGGCACTGTTTCCGGCCGGTCTCGGACGCCGGCGTACCGATATTGGCTCGGATTCCGGACGCCGATTTGGGCATTGGAGTGCGAACGCGGCCCGGTCCCGAGGGCGGTGTCTATGTAGCGGCCGGACATGGGCCTTGGGGGATCACTCTCGGGCTCGGTACGGGGAAGGTCATGGCGGAGATGATGCAGGGGCGGCGACTGAGCGCCGACGTAAGCGGTTTGGGGTTGCCGTATAGGTGAAGGGATGTGGTAAGCGACGACGGCTATGTTGAAATGTCGTTCTGGGTGAGACGACCAGACCCTTGGTCCCTGTCCCTGTCCCGCGAGGCCCCAACAACTTGGGGAAATTGGCTGTGACATTCTCGGCACTCCCCGATACTAGATGACATTTCGATGTACACTATGATCGCCGACGCGGGATGGCCTTGGCCACCTCTGTGTGTTTCGTGGTACGGTGTACTTCGTAGGTACGCCCGAAGAAAAATGATAGAAAGCCTGTCAGACAAGCAGCGTTGACGATCCGTGGGCATCCATGCCGCCTGGGTTTGGACCCTGGTTCCCTATGAGATCGCCGAACAGGTGCCAGACCCGGCTGCCTGGGAGGCACGGATCAACAGTACTTCTCGAACTGGGGACTCCCAATTGTTTCGTCAGGTTTACGAAGATGATCAGCCTGATGAGTCACAAGGCAAGGGGAACCCCGAGGAAATGAGAAATAAGATGAAACTCAGAAGGCTGTGTGGGTTCCTGGGACGATTTCCTTGTCTATCTATGTACAACGTACACTACCAGGGCAGAACGGTGCCAGGGTTGAGGATCCGGGGTCCCATGTCAGCCAGGGCTGCTGTTCACAAAAGTTTGGCGTACATGTACATAAGAATCAGATGACAGGCAGGGGGCAGGGAATAAAGGAGAGCAATTGATTGGTGCCTGTCTGAATTGCAAAGGAAGGCTGCCTTCTATCCCGTGTCCGATTTCGTGGCCGTGGTAACGGAAGCCTGGAGCGAAGGGATACGTCGTATGTAAGGTAAGATGAATTGAGGCATCATGATCCTTCACCTATGACAGGGGGTCTTGTCCTCGTGGTTCTGTGCCGGCTTCTATCGTTCTCGGTCTGAGCAATGGGCTGATAGGCTATAGCGTCTTCACCTCTCTCCCCAAAATCTCTTGTTTCTTCGGTATTAATCCGCGGCACCTCTACTCTACACTACACTAGTTCGGATATACAGTCATGAGGCTGCCAAGGCAAGGCATCATACTTTCCCAGGCACAAAAGAGCTCTCCAAGGTACAGAGTCCTGTATCCTCTCGGCCGAAAAGCACAATGGATGAGGTTGGGACGCTTATTACGAAGTGCATAGCGTCATTGTCACAATGGGTGAGTGGGGGGTCACAAAATGAACATCCACGTGGTCCAAATCGGTCCCCACCCATATGCAGGACCTATTGATATCACGTCTTGGCTTGCAGGGAGAAGAGAAAGCAGAACGGACCTGGTTAAAGTGGTATTATACATTTTGTCTCCGTTTCATCAAACGGCTCGCCGTTTTGGAAACGCGCCGAGATGTTGTTGCGGCGTAGCCCGCTTATGCTTTGTAATATGTGCTCCTTGAATACGAGGTTGTAAGGCAATATCGGAAGTCCTGGCTGACATACGGTTACCTGTTCCCTTGTACAAGGTTGTCATGGAAATGTTTCCAAAGCCCGCCCAGAGTCATCTCACACCACACCGTAAGGTACCTTACGTTGCACACCATCACGAACACCGACCGTTAGAATCCCGAATATGGTCCAGCGTTCTCATTGGTAGCCGTTTCGCATGACTAATAAAGCTCACCTCCTCGGATGTTCCGCAACGGCCTCGAATGGCCAAGCCCAATTCTACTCTATACCTTAGTAATACCTAACTACCACTGTGCCCACGCACGCCGCTAAAATCTCAGCTTCATTTGTTTCCGCCCCAGCAAAAGTTTCCGTTCACGGGTCCCGTTCCTGAACCACCCCAATGGGTCTCTTCAGACTATTTTCAGCTCGCCCTGGAGGGCGCTCATTATACTCATTATACACTACCGTAGATGAAAGAAGTACGGATTAGGACGCAATGTAATCACCTTCCACGTCCGTCGTATCGCAGATATCAACACTCGCTTCTATTTACTGTATCGACCGACCTTGTTATGTCATCACCCTCATCTGTGCCTCTTCGTCCGTTTTCCAGCCCTTGGCATTCTGCCCGTTCCGCTCTCTCGGCATCGCCATTAGCCGGACGCCATTCGGAATTAATAAGCGAAACAAACTGGAGGAAAATCCAGGAACGCAACTCGGCTTGCCCTCGTCAAAGAAACGCGTGCCAATGGTCAATTACTTCGTACTACCAATCATCGTGCTCGTACCGACGTCCTCATCGGCTCGGTCGGCAAACCAGTATTGGCATTTAATGCCGTACGCAAATGAATTAGATTCCCCATGTAACATTTGCGACCTTCTTGGTGCGTGGGAGCGCAAGTGACAAGACAAGATCTTGGTAAAATGGAGAATGCCGTCAGTCTGCAAGGTGTATTTACTTCGCCGTCCCTCTGCGTCGTGTAAAACCTCGATTCAGAGTCAGGTCAGGTTCCAGGTCAGGTAAGCTAGGGTACAGCGAGTCTAATAATGTGGAGTCGTCTTTGAACTTGGCCTGTTGGCGCTAATTGAGGGCAAGAAAAAAAAAAAAGAAAAAGAAACCCCCCCCCCCCCATGTCTCACTGGATTCAGCTGATTTCCGCGGATTTAGCACAACTAGCGATCCAGGGTCCCCTTTGTTGAGGACTCTCGGCAACGTAATTTTAGCTTCACAGCCCTTCTTGATGGGCCTTGCAATCAATATTTTGAGATTACCTAAGGAGCAAAAAATAATTTTTTTTCAGAGTAAGCCACAAGTGAGCCGACGGGATGGACCATGATCGTTGGTTGTGAGAAGGTATCGAGCAAGCTCGAATCCTGTATATTCGTATCGCCCCCTCTATCTAAGAGGGGACGTAATTCTTCCGAGACTGGCTCGGAATCCCATCAAAGTGAAAGCCCATGTATCCTGCATTACAAAGAAATAGGTGCCCCTCGCCTGAGGCGCCTGTCGCTGTCCAATCCTCCAGTCCTCCGCAGTGGCCGTGCTCATCCAAAAGGCCCAAGGTATATATGTGAGCAGGGAGTATCATACGCCCAATCCAATGAAAAACAAGACGCCTGGAGCAGAAACCTCCCCTTGATAGGTATATGTCTGTGTGATAGTCCCATATGTTTTCCCGCATCCAGGTAATATAGACATGAGAGGAGAACTCCTGGATCGCGCCGTCGCCTGTAAAGAGACAAAATGAAATTCAGTGCCCTCTGTGGGCTAGTATAGTGAGGTGGGTAGGCATCGACTGATGAGAGAGAAGGAAATGTCGGTGCTGTACGTCGTGCGTGCGTGTGTGTGTGTGTGTGTTTGTATGCATGTGAGAAAAGAGAGGAGTCGAGTTGGAATATAAAAGCGACATATGAGAGTGGCGAGGATGTATAAGTCGAGAAGCGGTAAGGATGTCGGGAATCGTAAGTACGGCGGCTCATGCCGCTTAGAGCGTCGTCCTTACTCCCAGGTTGGTACATCGTCCTTCTCAAAGACGATGCCCTTCCGTTTCCAACCCCCACGCTTGATGAAGGCCTCCACGCCGTCCATGGTCAGTGGAGGCCGTCGCGGTGCCACCGCAGGAGTGCGCTTGTAGCTGAAGTTCTGCCAACTCTTGGCATGCCGGGGTTGTCGTTCCGGAACAGCGATGTGCAAGTAGTCTTCTTCGTCGTATGTGCTAGCATCGTCGTCCTGTTTTTCTTCTTCTTGTCCGTCCTGAGGCAAGTCGAGGTCTGTCGATGCGATGGTGGAGTCTGACCACCGTGACCGAGGCAGTTCCGACGCAGCGGAGGGCGAGGACGACCTTGATCCCACAGCATACGACATGGCCTCCCGTTGCTGGCGTTCCTGGTGTTCGAGGAGGCGTAGCTTGTACATGAAGTAGTCGCCTCCTTCGTCGTTGTGGGCTTGCCTCTCGTGGCCGGTGTGCTGCATGGGTGTGGGCGAGCCGACGGCTGGCGCTGACATACTGTCGGCAGACTTGGATGCTTCATCTGCGCGGAAGTACTCTTCTAGGATGTCGTCTTCTGCATCCGAATCTGAATACACGGCTGTCTCGTGGTTCGGATTGAGGATGAAAGGGCGGTTGCCCAGCCTCGGAGGCGGGACGAAGGTCGGGTGGGAGGCGGCATGGTAGGTCGGGTGAAGAGCCAAGGGATCGAATTCGAGGTGTCGGCTGTGACGGTGATGGCGGCTCATGGATGGTGATGGCAAGTTCGTCGAGCTTGACGAGACGCTTGAGACTGAGTAGGAAAGGCTCGGTTTCCGAAGTTCGAATGCTCCGGGAGGTGGTGATTGGGGCTTGGTTGGCCTCAGGCGGCACCCATTTGCTATTGCGCAAGGCATGTTGTGTGTATGCTGGGGGTATGCGTATATATGGTTAGAAATCGATGAGCTGGGATGGGGTTATGGCTTGTCGAGAACCGGGGAGGAGGACGAAGCCCAAATCTGTATGGACACTAGATCCCCTTCGAGAGTGGTGAAGCACATGTCCCTATGAAGATACTGGAAGACGTGACGGGCTGCGATGCCTCCGGAAGAGCGAACAAGGCCACTCTTATTAAAGCCAGAGGTGTTCGGGAGCAGCGGAGGGACGGGTGGGGGTGTCATCTGTGGCTTGGCTTGTGAGGAGGGGAACAAATTCCAGCAGCCTCCCCCCCCCCCCCCCCCGGGTTCTGAACGAGATCGGGCGGGACGCAAAGGCAAGACAAGGACGCTAGTGACCGCGATTCAATGTAGAGAGAGGTACCTAATTTGTACAAGCATACATACGCCAAGATGATGGATCATAGAGATGCGAGGTACGAAATACATCGTACGTGTCATGGTTGCGTACTCCGAATCCGTACCTCGCAGCAGGTACGGGATACGCCTGTCACGCAGTCAGCGCTGCAAGGATACAGGCACATCGGCAGGGGGCAGGGACAGGGGTACGTGAGGTGTACGAAGGTCGAAGTACCTACTTCGTATGGAGTTTCGTGAATCATGGTGCAAATGAGCTGCGAACTGCGAGCGGAATGATATGTCCGCCAGGACCACCCACACAACTGCTAAGTTCTGAATAAGCCGGCTGGGGATGGATCAAGCCAAACCCAAAACATCACCGAACAAAAAACGGAGCCTGAACTGGACTTGACAGACGAGCACTAATTACAGTTGCACAGGGACTCCGTTTACGGTGATGGACCAAGACAGCGACCGAGGCCTCTTTTCACACCTCCGCACAACAACCTTGACCGCCGTTGCGTGGATTTCGCGGGATTGTGTGGTTCAGATTTAAAAAAAAAAAAAAAAAAAAAAAAAAAAAAAGAGCGGGGAATTACGAATTATGAACACAGTCGTGATGGACGGCCGTTGCCATTGAGTGCGAGGTGAACGAGAAAACCCCACTGGGCCAAGATGACCCGATCCGGACAGAGGCATGCCTCGGAGCATCGTACACGTGTACAACGTAGACATAGGCTCTGTAGGGGTATAGTACCCGTTACCTATACCCGAAACCGTGCCTACACCGGTAGTATGGTGGTGGGAATAACGAGCGACTGAGATACCTTGGTAGCCCTGATATTGTAATATGGTGACCTTGGTATAGCGTCGTGGTGGTCTTGGTAATTCTTGGTTCTTGGTAGGCTAGGTACCTTAAGTTATGAAACCCAGCTAAGGCATCGAATACGTCATTCTCACGATTGTTCGTGGTTCTTATCGTCCAATGAATGTCAGTTCGGCCGACTTTTCCGTATACTGGGTGAACAAGGGTTAGTTGATCGGGCTAGTTGATCTCTCCCCTTCTAAATCATGACTTCGTCGAGTCGTCTTTTGGTTCAGCGACAATGAGGTAGTGCAAGTGAACTGCGGAGAGACTTTGACGACATGGAGCGACTATCATGTTTCAGTGCCTTGAAGTGGTGGAGAAGGCGAGTCGGGTCACGCGTCCCTGCCGATAAAATATGCCTGGTCGATCTGAAGCCGATGGAAAGCTTTTTGCTGGCTGTATCTCTCGGGAAACTCCAGTCCCATTCAGGAACCCCAGTCGACTCCATTGCCCAGCAGGCTTGAGGATCTCAGGTACAGCTTGGCTGGAATTGACCAGAGAAGTCCACGGTCCGTCCGCATTGCGGAGAGTGCCGTTGCGGAGAAATGAGAGACCAGCTAAATGAACGAGAGGCGAAAGCCGAACGACTACCAAAAGAACAACCTTAACCACTCTCGGCCGTGGCCCAGGCCGCATCAGGTACAACGTACCAGAGACACTTGCGAGGCGCCGCTTCCAGGGAGAGTAAGACATCTTGTCTTGGTCTGAGAGTGCTAATTGATGGACTCTCATCTTATGAACCCATGTCAATTTGACAGTTGGGAAAAAGAAAAGAAGGGATCCAGAGATATGACTGCGGACCGACCGACTGACCATGGTCGATCAAACTATATTAGGCTACGAGAAAACAAAGCGGTGACGGGGAATGGATCACGGAGTAAATCCGCAGTCGCCTCCTCGTCTAGATAGTGGCTGGGGGGATATGGCGAGTAAGCTGAAGAGAGTGGGATGCCTGGAAGCTATCCAGATTCACATACAACAGATGTCCACACTAAAGGTAGATTCGACATACCATCTTACCTTACCCCTCTCTGTCCGTTCCTCCTCCGCCCCGCCCGTATGCATTCAGGTACGGGTGCAACGTCCATTACTAATTATTACCTGCATGTGCAGGCACGCACAGAGGCAGTGCACCAAGGACGAAGGACCTTGAACTGCAGGTATCCGTACTTAGCATAGAGTGCATACTACCCCGCACTACAGTGATGCGATTCCTCCCGCATTTGCAGTACCTTACTTGGGTACCTACCTATTCTCCGTTCTAAAGAGGCAGTTACTTTACGAAATGATACGCTACCCAGATCGAAACACCACCTCGTCCGTTCCGCTCATAATAAACGCGGGATGTCAATCCACACCTCGGCGATCTATTAGGTACGAGTATCAGCTGGGACTAGTGTACTTCGTGCTCTCCCATACCATTTCCAAATTCCAGGCATAGTGCTTACTAAAGGACTGTCATGTTACGAGATGGTGGGCAAAAACGTGCGTGCGGTCTTTGGTCCGATTCTGATCCGATCCCCGATAAGTCTGAACCCCTCTCCCATCGGCATCGGTTCCTGTTCCTGCAGGCATAGTAACCAGAGTCATAAAGTATTCCAGGCAATACGCTCGACGTCGCTTTCGTTGTCCAAGCCGCGTTTAATTGCTTTGGATCCCTGGACCCTGCTCTCTCGAGATCTACAGCTATGTACAACGTATATGCCCTATGACTGACTATGCGTCCTCCGTGCAGATGCGTGCATGCCTACCTACCTAACCTCCATACAGGTGCGGCGTATACCTACGGCATACGTACACGCAGTGCAATACTGATAAACTAGCAGAGTAGCGCACCACGTCAGACCTATGACCTCTTCTCACCGCTGTTCTCTGCGCCCCCCTCCCCGCCTGCTAAAATACCTCAGCAACATTCGTTTGCAGCTTTAGTGTCTGTCGTTTGTCGTCTCTTGGCCCGCTTGGCGAAGCGTCCAGCTAGAAGCACCTGTTCTAGACATCGACAGATTATCCTCTTGGTGAGACTTTTCGAGCCGTCTGCGTCAATTTCTTTTTCTTCTCTCTGCTTCACACATCACCTTCTATGGTCCTCCTTGAGACTCTTCTTATTCTCCGTGTCCGTACTGCAACTATCGAATGCCTCGCAGAGACATTGGATTCATCTCGTCTAATACACGTGTGTAGTTGGGGCTTTTCTTCTTCTTTTTTTTTCTCCCAAAAAAAATTGATGGACAAGAGCTTTCCGGCACCCCTTTGAACGGAACCGGAGGTCCAATGGGTTTAAACCATGTCTCGTCTTCTCGCTTGCAAACTTTCGCCATGGAGAAAGGTAGAAGGGAGAGTCAGATATGGACGGGAGACAACCGCATGCACGATGCCCGCACTATACGAACATTCAGGGTTCACCAAGAGCGCGGTGAGCCCATCAACCTTGCCACTCGTCCCTACGGCGTACCCGTCGCTCTGCACTTATCAGCCCCCAAGACAGAAAAGCGAGAAAGGCATCATTATCTGATAATCCCAACGAGCGTTGGTGCTAGAGGTCAATATATGCCTACGGCACAGACGGACATGACTCTGTGTATTGCCCGCGGGCTCAATCGTTTCCCTCTTCACCCGCATCGTTCCATGTCTCTGGAAATGTTTCGCATCTTAGACATTAGACAGTTATCAACCGCCAAGGCCGTAGGTAATTAGGTGCGTTTTAGTGTCGATTTTTATGTCTAAGGATCGCAGCGGCGATTTACCAACGGTGCTCCCATCTTTCCGATCGTCAGTAGATCGGCGCGGGGACGATGATGGTGTGATGGGTGGTGCAGTAATTCGTTCGACCCTTTGATTGGCTTTCATGATCCAAGCGATAACACCTGGATCTACCGTATCTGCTTCTCATCACCTCATCGATCCCCAGAAGGACTTCATAATGAACGTATGAACTCGAGAAGCACCCGAGACCGTTACACTTGCCATACTCAACGGTATGCGTCTATGAGAGAGCCAAGAAGCAGGCTCGGACTGGGTAAGATCCTCAAAGTGCCGGATGTAGGGTTTTGCGTGAAAGTGTCGACACTTCTTCGGGACGTCTCCAGGACGTCGCGTCATAACCGCGTTGGAATGGAGTGTAGCGTGCCACCGCGTTAAGTGTTTTGGACATCGGTGTCTTATTGTTATGCATGGGTCATATGACTACACATGAAGCTGGTGACACTCCCTTCCACTCCGGACTGCCTCCACACCGCATTCCACGTTCCACGGACGGGCCCAGACGAAACCTGACGAAACATGATCGACCCTCGAAGAAAATACAAGCCACCACGCTACCGATGGTACGCGTCGTAAACGATCCAGGGGCTTGCTTGGCTATCTGTGGGGTAGAAGTAAGAAGTAATGTGTTTCGAAATTGTTCGCTTTGCCTGCCACGAGAGCAGCAGAATGACGTCGACACCCATCCCCAGTCCACCATTAAGGCGAGCCAATGTGCTTAGCAAGGATGCAGGGGGAAGGTGGATTTGACGTAGGCATACCCGAGCGGCTCGGATGATTCGTGGGAAGATTCGAGTCTGGAGCACGCGAAATTCGCAACCCGAAGCTGAAGGTGGTCGTTCGTGATGGGTTTTCACTGGTAGATAATGGCGATTTGCCGACGTCAGACCTCGCCTGTCGGGCCCCCGAGATTATCGTTTCTCCCCCCCCCCCCAGTGTCGCTCCTGGGCGTTCCATGTCGGGGCGCAAGGATAAATCGAAGCGCGCGTCGTACTGAGCGAACATTTACTCGATAATGCCGTCATGTTCGCCAGGGAGTCTCTTAACCCGCTTCTGTTCCCAATTGTCCAAGTCCTTGGCCGCAAGACGCTGCACGTTTCACACAAGGGGAGTTTAGCGGATCAATTCAAAGTCGCTCGCTCAGTGCAAAGAAAAGGGGGGCGGGGGGCGAAGGGGAGGTAAAAAAGAAGGCTAGACTCACGTAATACTCGTCCTTCATGTTCACTCTCCTCGCGTTCCTGCGCAGGCCCAGCTCTTCCTCTTTTGTCACTTGGCGCACTTTCCGGTCGTACTTCTCGTAGCGGATGGCGGTGGCCGGCGTCAAGACGAATGATCCGGCAACCATGACGGCGAGGAAGGGCAGGCCGAAGAGGAGGAAGGGATGCTTGGAGAGCTGGGCACGGTAGCGGGAGCCGAAGGCGTGGGCTTCGGCGGAGGGAGTGAAGCGCTTGTTTCCAAAGACGGACATGGTGGCGATAGGTGGTGTACTTTGGTTTGTTCGGAGGAATTGGTACGAATATCGACGGATTGACGGTTTACGTGCTCGTGCTCGCTGGACGGCCGTTATGGCAAACCGTGGATCGGCTAGGGGGTTTGTTTGGTCTGTTCGGAGGAATTGGTACGAATATCGACGGATTGCGTGGTGCAATGGGGCGACATGTATCGGGACAACACGGGAGACAGAGTAGGACCACAGGTGGTAGACGTTCTAGACAACTTGGTAATGGGCTGATGATGATGGAGACACGACTCGACACGACTCGACCCGACAGCTTCAAAAGTTTCAACGTTCTCGGAAACCGGAAACGGACCCACACCCCAGCCTGATGTAAGCACCGTGCAATGTTTGCGACACACTGTAAGGGGTTAGAGGCATGAGCTTGAAATTCCATTCATCCCATATTAGTCAGGTGCCTCTGTGGTTTGTAACGCAACTGTACAGTGTGCGGTACACGAAGCATGCAAGTTCCCGATCCGACTCGGACCGCTTTATTATGAAAGCACGTTTCATTCGTTTCCGTTCATCCTCCCACGTCTGGCGACTCGACAATTCTCATCTGCCAGATTAGAGTTCGGCTTAAGCCAGTCCAGACGGTACGAATCGATGGACTTGTCAAACAATCATCTCGCTCCCGGCTCCCGGCTCCCGGTCCCGCTCCCCCACCTTTCTCTCTTTCCGACAGCCCCCCCTCATGTCCGCAACCGGGAGCGGATGAAACCTGGGCGTCTAGGAGTCCGTCCCAGACGCGGAATTTCCTGTGGTGCAGTACAACGGTGCGGTGCGTCTCTGAAAGCTTCCAGAGCCCGCATTCGGTCAGCCCACTTTCACGAAGGCGTCGGAGAGGCGAGCTTGTGTCTTACTGCCGTACACCGTCGTAACTCACTTCGGCCAAGTCCCAACACACACCACTGGAGTTCACCGGCGCTATCCCGGTCTCTCAAGCAGAAAGCCATGTGTCATCCTCTTTCCGTTCTAAACTCTATCTCAGTCCATCTCTGTTAGGGCCGCCGACTTCGCAAACGGTCCCGAATGATCGTCCCTCGTGGTGACTCGGTGTGCCATATCAGGTAGGGGATTCTAGACGTGCTATTTGTAGTGAACGTTACGCCCTCGTCTCATTTCGAGAAATCGGCCCATCATCCGTAATTCCCTCTCCTTCCACCTGTCTGCAATATTCCCATATAAGACGGCCCCATCTTCTCAATCTCCTGGCTAGTATATTTCGCCACTCTGGCGGTCATTTATGCACAGGAGGTTTCTGCTTTCCCTCTGCCACTCGTTGCGTGTTATCCTTCTTGTCTGCGGTGCCTTGACGCACGTGACACCTTCGGTCACAATGCCCGTTTACTGCTCCAACTTCTACGTGTGTAACTGTCCCCGGCCTAACAAGCTCGTTCGTAGCGCCGACACTGACAATGATACCAGGGCTCCATCCAGTGCCGGGGCTACGCCCCTCGCTTCGGCGAACGCTGCGGCTTCTGCACGGTAGGTCCCCACACAGCTTTCGAGTTCCCTCGACTCTTCTTCGTATATGGAAAACCAAACTGACTTGGGTCCCCCTTTCCCAGGTACACCGACGCGGTAGACCCCTGAAGCCAGGACTTCTTCCGCCCGCCGAGGAGCCAGACTGGAACCCCCCGCACACGCCGTCGGATGACGACGAGGACGAAGAGTTCGACGAGCGAGAGTACGATGCTTCCAAACGAACAGCGTTGCGTCGGCGCCGCGGTGCAGAGACCGGGGTGCGGCAGCAGTTGCAGTCGCTATTAGACTGTCGACGGTCATCATCATGAACATGATCATATCCGCATAGACGGTGGAAAGCATTGAGAAGTGGGATCTGATTTTGTGGCGTTTTTTTGGACACAGATAAAGGCAAGATAGACGGGATGTCTAGATTTGGAATTACAATGGGCGCATAAGGGATTTAAAGACATGATGGACTGGGCTTCAGCACTTCGCCTCGGGAGAGGAGTTCGAAGGCATTTGGGCGCCCTTCTGGTGGACTAGGGGCAGATATACATCTCACGATACAGGAAACGAGCTTGATGAGGAGATACCAAGTCGAAACAAAACGAAACCCTTTTTCTAGATGATAAGTCCAGTGCCTTTTTGGAATGGTATGGGTATTTCTTTTTCCCTGCCCCTCGCCGTTTTCTACCTCTCCCCCAGCCAAGTCACCGTCGCCATGCGTTTCTATTTATGAAAGCTTCGAGCTCGCCTCCCCCCCCTTTACTGCATCTTCGCCGCCCAATATATCTCCGCCAGGACTTCCCGCGGGACGACCACTTTTACCATCTCCGCCGCCTCCTGAAGGTACATCACCCCCCAGTCGAAGCTGTAGCTCCTCCTGCGCGGACGGGCCGTCGTCTCCACCAAGTGCACTTCGGCTAGACGCGTCAGGGGCGGGAACGGCAGCGGCCCGATCGGCATTCTCCGCTGGTCCCGAGGAGGCCTTCTCGTCCTCCCTCTCCTCTTCCCCTCCACGAGAGTGTAAAGTGACCCCCTCCTCGCCTCCTGTCCTTGAGACTTCTTCCTTCCGGTCCGTCTCGACCTCTTCTTCGACCTTGGCACCCACGTCCGCCAGCCCGTCCTTTTCCTCAGTCTTGTCGCCGCCGGCAGCACTCTCGTCATTCGGCGATTCGAGGGTAAGAGCGGCCTCGACCTCCTCAGTCAACTTCCGAATCTCATCCTCAATATCCGCGCGACCAGCGCCCGCATCGGGGTCCACGCGCGCCACCTGGCGCGCGGCCTCCTCGTCGCGCACGACACCGCGCCAGAGGGCCTCCAGCTCCTCGGACCAGCCGAGCAAGGCCGCCAGACGCCGTATGCCGGCATCGCAGGGCCCCAGCTCGAGGACGTCGTCCGGGCGGTAGCCCATGCGGCCGACGCGCTCCTTGTTGAGCAGAAGGCGGGGCACGTGGGGCTGGGCGTACTCGGGCAGGCCGGCGAACGGGTAGACGCTGAGGCTGGTGCCCATGACGATGACGAGGTCGGCCATGGCGGGCAGGTGGCTCGCGTCCCGGAAGGCGGAGGGGAGGGCCTCGCCGAAGAAGACGATGTCGGGTTTCACGAGCCCCCCGCAGGAGCGGTCCTTGCAGCGCGGGACGACCTCGCGCTGGACGTGGTCGAGCATGTCGTCGTCCGGGAAGGGGGTGCGGCACTCGATGCAGCGCTGGGTGGCGAAGCTGCCGTGGGCTTCGACGATCTTGTCGGCGGGGACGCCGGCGCGGCGCTCCAGGCAGTCGATGTTCTGGGTGAAGTTCATCAGGAGGCGGCCCTTCTTGGCGAGCAGAGCGATGAAGGCATGGGAGATGGTGGGGTGGAATTTTCCAGGGTATAGTTCCTTGGCGAGGTAATAGAAGGGCTCCGGGTGCTTCCGGAAGTACTCGATGTCGAAGACGGCCTCGGCATAGGGCAGGTTGAGGCGGGCCAGGTTGTCGTAGAGGCCTGTGCCGGGGGAGCGGAAATCAGGGACTATATGGGAGAAGAATTGTCAGTGAGGCGAGTTCGAGGAGACGACGAAGAAATCGAGGCTGACATTTCGCGACACGAACAAGAGGCACACAGGACTCCAGGAGAGAAACAAACGTACTTCCAGCGGCAGTGGAAATGCCGGCTCCGCACATGACTACAATGCGCCATGCCGGAGCATCTTTAATGTAATGAGCTAGAGACTCAAGACTGCGGTCCCCGAGTGTCTGGGGCGGGCCGTTGGCTTCGTCCAAGACAGATTCTTCGTTGCCCATTTTGAACCTATTTGGTTTAGGGCGGAAGTGACGGGGACGACGTCGGCGGCCTATCTTGGCGGTGGCGAAAAAGGGACAGGACGGAGGAACAGATTAAGAATTCTATATTCTATACACTTAGTATCAATGGAAAAGATGATGCCATCAGAGATGGGAAGACTGGTTGAAGAATGAGTGAAAGATGATGTTTCAAGGTGTGTGTGCGGGAGGGAGGGAGGGAGTGAGATGGTGAAGTGAGCGCCGTTGAGGTCCGTGTGGGGTCCGCTGTGGGGTCCCGGTGAGACGCTGTAGCCTTACCGAGTGATTGCTATGCTTAAGGTACCTACCTTACCAAGTAACTACTATGGTGTCTGTGAGATCAGAATACAGTAAGATACCCCAACTTGAGTCATGCCGAGTACCACGACGGAAACAACATAATATGATACAAAGTACCTTATGGAATAAGTGTAATAACCGTGATCCTAGTTCAACATTTACAGTGTAACGGCTTCAATGGCCGCCTCTGGGCCCTGAAAAACACTTGGATTAGGTAGAGACTAACATATACGTACATAGGCGTTAGGGGCGTTGTTGTACACCTTCGAATGACACAGCTACCTCACGTACCTTAATGAAGGGACCAAGTTGTTCAAGGTACCAAGGTACACAATCATCACTCTTCCCGTGTGCAACTGTCACCCCAGGTCTGTATCATAAGGTACCTTCGTGCCTGCTCGGCAGCCTGCGATGTTTGTTCGTTCGTACCCATCCGGGATGGGAAGTTACCCCGCCCCCGCATTCACACTTGGTACGGCTCAATGTACCTCAAAATACCTACAGCACCAGGTACCTTATTCAAAGATACAACATCCAGTACCTGCCAACCGGAGACACCTAAGGTACCTTACCTTACCTGGTACACGACGAGCCGGCAATGCGCCGGTTGGGCACCGATTGTATGTATCACTGGTTCCTCGTTATCAGGACAGATGAGGAGCACGACGGGGGGAAACAGTGAGAAGAGTGCTGCTTTTCGGCCTGTAAAAGTCAAGAAATAAAACTAAAAATAAGGTAGGTAATAAAAAGGGCCAGGGGCAACGGCCTGCACATCAGATAGATAAGATAAGAGTAAGGCACAGGTCTGATTCAGGTACCTAAGGTATCTACTCCGTCCTCCGAAGTCCGGCTTCACCGCAACATCGATGATCGCTCACCTCCCGGGCAGGACGAACAAGAAACAAGTCCATCTTCTCCACGCCGTGACGAGAAGAGATAAAATAGAAGAGATGTCTGCCTCAGAAGCCAAAGTGCTTTCCATAGGGCCTCTGGTATTGGCCCCCTTTACCCAAGCTCACCCGGGTCAACCCCCAAACCCCCCATCTTACTTCCATTCATGCCAGCAGCTAACCATGCTATTCCTCTCTCTCACGTTCCCTTATCCAGCCCGAAAATGAGGCGGCCTGGATCAAACTCAGCAAAGTCACATATCGAGACCCAAACGGCCAGACGCGCACCTGGGAGTCGGCGGAGCGCCGCACCCGGCCCACGACAAGTGACGTCGACGGCGTCGGCATCGTCGCCCTCCTCCACACACCCGCCGGCCCAGAGATCATCCTCCAGAAGCAGTACCGGCCCCCCATTGACCGCATCTCCATCGAGGTGCCCGCCGGCCTGATCGATGCCGGCGAGACGGCCGAGCAGGCGGCCGTGCGAGAGCTGCGCGAGGAGACGGGCTATGTTGGTGTCGTCACCGAGACATCGCCCATTATGTTCAACGGTGAGACTTTTACCCTTTTTTTCTTCTTCTCTTTTTCTTCTTCCTCCCCTCTTTTTCCTCCCCTTCCCATTCCCACCGCCGACAATATTGACCTCCACCCTAACAGACCCCGGCTTCTGCAACACCAATCTCCGTATGATCCACGTATCCATCGACCCGTCCCTCCCAGAAAACCAGAACCCCCAGCCCCAGCTGGAGGAAAACGAGTTCATCGAGGTCTTCACCGCTCCCCTCGCCACCTTATGGGATGAGTGTAAGAAGCTCGAGGCCGAAGGGTACGCCATTGATGCTCGGGTCGGGACTTTGGCCGAGGGCGTCGAGTTTGCCAAGACGTTGAAGCTATAGCGCTTGTGGGAAGAGGAAGGGAACACTTCCCAATATTTCTTTTCGTTAGAGCAAAGACCACAAACCAAACCTGCCCATGGATATAGAGGTAACCATATAGAAGTCCCATGTAGAACATACCACCATGTCCCGGAATTGTCTGCCACACAGGGATAGAAGAGGCAGTGTTTCGTGGTCGTGGCAGGGAGTATTTTGGAATTTCTAGAGGGATTTTCTACCGCAGGCAGCTCATATCTTGCCCTCCCTCTTAAGACCCTCCCATAGAGCCAGGGCAGCGAGACATTTCGCATCGCGCGCCCCGACCCGCCACAGGTCCCGCATAGGCACCAGCCTGAGAGTGATCTTCTCGCCATGTTCCCTCAATCCGGTCAGCCGCCCAGCCCAGTCCTGGAGTTGCGCCCTCGGCACCCGCCTCTCGTGGCTGTAGAGGGTGATGTGTTCGTCGCATCCACCAGCGGAAGGGTACATGGCGTTCGGCAACCTTTCCCCTTCCTCCCCCCCCTTTCCGCCTTCATCCGCAAGCTCGCTGGCCAACTCGCTAAGACAAACGAGTTCACCCTCGCGAATCTCCACCCCCAACTCCTCCTCCATCTCCCTGGCCGCAGCGCCGGCGAAAGAACCCTGCCCGTCGACCATGCCGGCCGGTATCTCCGCGAAGGCCAGGCTCGCGGCCGGCACGCGCGGCTGCACGGTGAGGACGGCGTACCGCTCGTCCGAGTCGGAGGCGTTCGCTTTCGCGTCGACGTCGTCCGGGATGAGCATGACGAGCACGGCGACGCTGGGCCCGCGGAGGAAGATGCTGCCGGGAAGACGCTCGCCTGCGGCGTTGGATACGTCGGCTACGGCTTTGAGGAAGCCTACCTTGCCTGTCCCGCCGAAGATGTCGAAGGCTTGGACGGTGATGGAGGTGAGGCGGTACGGGTCCGGGTGGAAAGGGTGGGTTGCGGTGCGGGATTGGAGGGCTATTGAGTTTGTGAGGGTTGATACCCAGGTCTGTCGTTGACGGGGGGTTCGATTGCTTTAGTTAGTGGTCGGAGGTCCCGAAGGAAGGAAGGAGGGCTTGGCGTTGGAGGACAAGAGGGGGGAAACAGTACGATGAATGGTTTGAAGTCGAGGAGCTGGTCTTCTGAGAGACCTTGGGGGATGGTGACGGGGATGTCGCCGTGGTCTTTGAGCCGAATGGAGGACATGGTGCGAATTGTTGATAGCTTGTTCGTGCCGGATGATGGAATTGAGGTGAGATGGTGGGCGAGTCGATGGGTAAGAGGAGGGAGAGAAAGGACGGCGGTGGACTTGGAACGAGTCCCGGATGGTGATGCGTTGGGAGTTCGATGGGCGTGTTTTGTGAAAATAGGGCGAATCGATAAAATGCCGGTCGCTACACGTGGAATCGACCACTTCCTCATCCTACCTTATGGAATGTAGTGGGGTTTGATTCTGACCGAGTTAAAGATCTGGGGTGTGTAAAGGGACAAAGCGGGAAAAGTGAGGGATCATATGATTTGCCTGTCGAGATGTTTCCTTGGGAGTCGCGTGACGTCAAATCCATTATTTTATTTTTATTTCCTCATTTTGCCACAAGGAGTCTTTGACTTCAAAAAATGAAATAAATAAAATCAGCGCACGAAATTGATTCTCATGATGCTGTATGAGATGATGTATGCATCCACGGCTAGGCCCAGGAATCACTGTTCTTGATCAATGTTGCTAATAAACATGCTTGCTATCCGTGGACTTAATAGGTATTTCCGCATCTCTCGTAGCCATTCGCCTCGCCAAAGCAAAGCATAGCGCATAATGTAGAACGCAGGGACAGACTCGGCCCCAAGTCTAAACGGCCCAGTAGACGGCAACGCCGACCTTTTGAACGTTGTTCGCCCAACCCGGGAATCGTGACTTGGCCCAGACGGTGACCACGTCTCCCAGCCTCAGGTTTCGCACAAACTCCCCGGTGCCGCTCGCCTTCCCCCTACCTTGGCGTTTCAGTCGCTCAGCCTCGGGCGAGTCCGGCGAGATGTCGTCGGTCCAGGACCAGACGATCCGGTAGTCGCCAGCTGTGCTGGTGGCCGTCCTGTTGCACTGGATCTTCTGCTGCTGGTTCGGCTCCAGCGGGTGGTTGTAGCGCGGCGTGTTCCCCACCACTTCGGTCTCCGGGTAGACGGGGCGCAGGCCAGTCACTCGAAACGGCCGATCGCGAAACGGCGCCGTCGTTTCGCTCTCACCCTCACCCTCACCTTTGCCCTTACCCTTGCCCTTATCCTCACCCTCATTCTTACCCTCGTCGTTACCCTCGTCGGCGTGGGCGAAAGATTGCGATCCAAGGTGGCGGGCGGCGCGAGGGCCATGGAGAAAGCTGCGACCAAGCCCCCCAATAAAAGGGTGCGACAATTGTAGCCTGGTTGGCGGCTTCTTGTCGATCGTACTCTTGCTGTCCAAAGACTTCTGGCATGTCGCGTCAACCTCCTCTTTGTCGCCCTCCTCCTCGTTATTGCCGTCGAACCTCTCCAGGCCGGCCTCAAACCTCTCCAGACCGGCCTCGAACCACGTCCACGATCCCTCGAACGTCCCCCGGTCCTTCGCCTCGCCGCCCCAGCCCTGGTCCCTGCTGCGGAGGGTGAAGACGATTTTCCGCACAGGGCGTTCGAGCGCCGTGCCGGCCCTCAGCTTCTTGAACGCCTCAACGGGCGCCGCCTCGCGGAGCGGCTCGGGTGCGGCCGGCGTCGAGATCCACTCGCCGGGCTGCGCGATGCTGTCTTGGTCGAATCCGACCGGAGGGCTGCGGAGGAGCAGGGCGTTCTCGCGATCTCTGCGCCCGCTCGAGATGCGGATGTCTTGCCTTGGCGGTCGCTCGATGACGGTTTCGCAATGGGGCCAGTACTCGGCGTGGTCGATGATGATGTCGACCACCTCGGGCGGCATCTGGGTGGCCTTGCTGAGCATGGTCTTAACGACGATGACGTCGATGGGTCGCGGCTGAAAAATGCCAGACTGGGAATCCATGTTGGGTTGGCTGGAAAGAGAGGGCACGTATTGCCAGAGTCCAGATAAGAATGACATGAATTGGATGGAGGGAGTTGGGTCTCGGTTGACAAGGCGAGAAAGATCAAGGTCGGATTGATGTTAATCTTTATAGGTGCTAGGGTACTTCTGTGAGAGATGCGTCAGTGCAAAAAGGGTGTACAGAGTACCGATTTCAACCTAGGTACCTATGAAGCTATAGGTGACGCAGTGTACCTTAACCAACGCTGCGTTGGATGATGAAAAGAAGCTGGAAGAGGGTGGGTGGGTGAATCATCCAGGGAATCATCTAGGCTGCAGCGATAATACTGAGGTCAGGTGACCTGCCTGGGAGCGGGGGCTGACCGAGAAGAAACAACGTCATTACGACCGCCTTCACCTTTGTTTCTAGGCACGACGTTTGACGGAGTACAACGCACGAGTACCTTACTAAATTTAGGGGTTTAGGCAATTATTAGCTACGTCACTCAACTCGAGCTTGGATGACATAATACGTAACAGCATACTCCACACACACCCCAATGTCTCTATAGACTTATCTTATCAGCACGTGAAATTTCACCATCGTCGGCCCCGACTTCGGTGTTCCCCAAACGAGCTCCATGGGGCTTTACCACATCTTCAACCACCATGGCTAAAGATGCGCTGACAAACCAGACAGGCAGGCCTCATGGACTGGCCTTCATCTGAGTTCGGGGTGGTCGGTTGTCATCTTTATTCCCTCTGCTTCTGATAATTTGACAAGGGCAACCAACTCCTCACACTCCTCACAACAACCATGGCCGCTCTACGAAGAATTGCTCCTTCGACCCTGCGCAAACTGGCGGCTTCCACTCCGAAGAGACCAGCTTGCGCCCTGCCCAAGACAAAAGACGTGCTGCTCCCTCAGAATCAGAATGTACCGACAAGACGGTTTCACTCGAAACCACGGAAAGCGGCGGCGTCTGGAGCTGGGGAGGCTTCCAACCCTCCCATGTCGTTCCCCTGCATCGATGCGCTCGAGAACCGATCCGCCTCGCTACAGGCAAGCTTTGCCTCCAGCGGCCCCGAACCCTCATACACCTCCGGAGCCACGCAGACATGGAACTGCGAAGAGCCTCTCCTCCTGGACTGGGGCGGTGTGCTGCCCGAGTTCATCATCGCCTACGAGACGTGGGGGCGGATGAACGACGACAAGTCCAACGTCATCCTCTTGCACACCGGCCTGTCCGCTTCCTCCCACGCCCGCTCGACCGAGGTCAACCCAGAACCGGGATGGTGGGAGAAATTCATCGGCCCCGGCGCCGCGCTGGACACGGATAAATACTTCGTCGTCTGCACCAACGTCATCGGCGGCTGCTACGGCTCCACCGGCCCCAGCAGCACCGACCCGGCCGACGGGCAGCGGTACGCCACGCGGTTCCCCGTCCTGACCATGGACGACATGGTGCGCGCCCAGTTCCGCCTGCTCGACAGCTTGGGCGTGCGGAAGATCTACGCGAGCGTGGGCTCCAGCATGGGCGGCATGCAGTCCCTGGCCGCCGGCGTCCTCTTCCCCGACCGCGTCGGCCGGATCGTCTCCATCAGCGGCTGCGCGCGGAGCCACCCGTACAGCATCGCCATGCGCCACACGCAGCGCCAGGTCCTCATGATGGACCCCAACTGGAAGCGCGGCTTTTATTATGGTGGCCTCCCGCCCCACGCCGGCATGAAGCTGGCGCGCGAGATCGCCACCGTCACCTACCGCTCGGGGCCCGAGTGGGAACAGCGATTCGGCCGCCGCCGCGCCGACCCGGCCAAGCCGCCCGCGCTGTGCCCCGACTTTTTGATCGAGACCTACCTCGACCACGCCGGCGAGAAGTTCTGCCTCACCTACGACCCCAACAGTCTGCTCTACGTCAGCAAGGCCATGGACCTGTTCGATCTCGGCCGCGCGCACCAGCTGGCCACCCGGGCGCGCAGGGCCCAGCGCGAGAAGCAGATCGAGGAGGCGGGCGCCGCCTCCGCCTCGTCGTCCGCCGACCTGGCCTGCAGCCTCACCTTGCCGGATCAGCCGTACGAGGAGCAGCCGGCGCCCAACGGCGAGGCGGTCTCGTCCGACTCTATTACGGTGGAGGTTTCCTCCCGTCCGCCTGACGATCTGGTGGCCGGCTTGGCGGGGCTGCGCGATATCCCGACGTTGGTCATGGGTGTGGCGAGCGACATTCTCTTCCCGGCGTGGCAGCAGCGGGAAGTGGCCGAGGCGCTCAAGCTGGCTGGGAACCGGAACGTGGCGTATACCGAACTGAGCGAGGAGATGAGCATGTTTGGACACGATACCTTCTTGTTGGACCTGAAGAATATTGGAGGCAATGTCAGGAACTTCTTGGGTTGAAGGGCTTGGCGGGCGTTATGTTGCATGAGAAAGCTTTTGAACTATTCCCGTGGATTCTTGTCAACGAGGCTCGCCACCAGAGCTCGTGGTCAGTAGTAAATCAGCGATACCAGCGTGCACACCGGAGTGCTATTTTGGAGGAAACAAAATATATACATGTATTTGATGTACGCATGAATAGGCGATCACCACAAGCAGTCGTGCAGAAGACGGATACATGAAAAGACAGTCACATGATTCAAATCACGCCTGGGAAAACAAGGACCTGAGGTTCGTCGGGCTCATCTTGAGGTATGTACAACGTAGATATACGTAGGACTTTTGGCTTTTACGCTTCGAAAACCAACACGACACCATCATCGCCCGCCGTAATCACCCTCTCTCCCGTGCTCCCCTGAACAAAGCCCAACACGCCACCGCCCTCGCCATCACCACGATGTCCTTTCCATTCCTTCACCAAACCGGCATCCGAAGCGGTCGGGCCGGGAGCCGCACCACCAGCCGCAGCGGGGGGATTCTGTCGTGCGGCAGCCGCATTCGAACTGCCACCACGCAAATCCCACCTCCGCACGACGCCATCCATACCACAGCTCGTGAGGAGCCACGTACCGGGGATGAATTCGACTTTGACGACACTATGGTCCTCATGGGCGCCGGCAATGTTACGCCGCACAGCGAAGCGGCGCGTGGCGTCGTAGACAGCGATGCTACCATCAACGCTGCCGGCGGCAAGGAGGGTGGTCTGCTGGTTCGGCAAGCCACCGGAGGGCGAGACGAACGAGAGGGTCTCGATGCTCTCCGACTGGGTCTTCAGGCTGGCGAGGATCTGCCCACCCGCAGAGACCTGTTGCGACGACGACGACGACGACGATGACGCAGAAGCTTTGCCGCCTCCCGTCTTTGCCCCCCTGGCTGTTTTGCCGCCGCCAGATGCCGCCGCTGTTGACGACGCACCACCACCACCACCACCACCACCACCGCCCAGCCGCGGCAGCGACACGATCCTGATATGGCCCTCCGCGCCACCCACGGCAAGGTACGTCCCGTTCGGCTCGACAGCGACAGAGTACAACCCGCCCTCGACCTCGAAGCGCTGGTCCTCGCCCGTCAGGCTGACGACGGTCTGGCCGTTGGACTCGACGACGCCGCGGGCGGCGCCGAGGCCCCACACGTCCCAGGCGTAGAGGGAGCTGTCCTCGGCGACGGTGGCGAGGAGGGCGCCGTCCGGGGTCCAGGCGCCGGCGGTGCAGGGGGCGGTGTGGAGCCAGTAGCTGTTGACGACCTGGAGCGGGTTCTGCGGGTCGGCGGCCGGGTCGATGGTGTAGACCCAGACGGAGTTGTCGGAGGCGCCCAGGGCCACGGTGTTGGGATATTCGGGGGACGGGCAGGGGGCGATCCAGTTGATCTCGGGCACCTCCTGGGCCTCGGCCAGGAAGGACAGGGTGGCGGCGGGTTGGTTCGAGGCCTGGCTTGGGTTCTGTGCGGCGGAGAGGGTGACGGTGTAGGCGCGCAGACGGCCGTCGAGACCGGCGCTGACGAGGAAGTCGCCACGGGGAAGGGTGAAGGTGAGGGCGTTGATGGAGTCGGTGTGGCCCTCTATGGTGAAGAGGGCGTCGAGCTCGGTGGTCTTGGTCGGGTCGGCGCCGCTGTAGCTTGAAGGGAGGACGGGTCGGTCGGGGGCGGCGCTGGTGTCGATGACGTAGCCCTTGCCGGGTGCGTCGTCGGCTTCACCTTCGGATCCTCCCGTGGCGATGAGCGATGGGTAGACGGGGTGTTGAGCGATGCTGAAGACGGAGTCGGCGTGGCCGTCGAAGAAGGCGATGGAGTCGTTTTGGAAGATGAGCTCTTCTGTGTCGGAGTCCATGGCGACGTCGCCTTCATCGTCGTTCATGGGGATCTCTTCGCCTACATCGTCGGCGTTGAGAACCTCGGACTGGTCTTCGGCTTCATGTTCATCGCGGCGTGCAGACATGACGGGCGGGGGGGAAGCGATTTGTGGGAGGGACGTCGTTCGTTTCCGATCTAATTGTGTCGAGACAGAAGCAGACGAGGTTGAATAGTAATGAAGTGTCGGGGATAGGCAGAGGGAGAGGAGAGGGAGAGGAGAGGGAGAGAGAAGTGACTGTTTAGTAATGAAGTTGCTTGATAAGCAGATGAACTTTTTTTTTTTCTTTTTGTTTTCTTTTTTTAATAATTCGAAGATTTTCCCATGCTCAATGGCGGGGGCGGGGTAATGATTTCTTCGGTGTACAGTTACCTTACTTGATAACTTATGTACGTATCTCTACGTAATCTCGGTGAGTGACGTTGACCGAACTACACCGAGTTCACCTGGGACAACTTGGAGATTCCACTTCTATTGTCGAGGCTCTGGGACTGTGTCGCTCTATTTAACTCTTGCACTCCTGATTCCTGTTGAGACGAATATCTGACCAAGGCCAAGTAACCAAATAATAATAAAAGAGATGCAAAATAAAAATCAGCCACACGCCTCGTCGTTTAGATCCTAGGTTGAACCGCTGAATCGCTTTATATGTTAAATTAAGACCGTCCCTTTCCTTTTTCCGGACGCCGCTCAAGTGTTGAATTCTCGCTGAATGTTGAATTGATCTAGTCCGTGCATGATATTGTGGTTGGCAGTTGGCCCAGATGTGAACTGTTGTCGAGGTCGCCTCCAGGTCTATCGTTACAAGCCCGGCCGTGGAATCGCCATATGCCTCCGTTTCTTACGCCTCGCCCGTGGTGTCTTCGACAGGGGGGCAGGTGCAGAAGAGATTTGTATCGCCGTAAGCTATTCTGTTAGTTAGAAAAGAAAGAAAAGAAAGAAAAGAAAGAAAAGAAAGAAAAGAAAGAAAAGAAAGAAAAGAAAGAAAAGAAAACGAGAAAAAAATAAAAACAAAGAAGGGGGGACTATAAAACTCACCATCGTCCACCCTCGCCACGCTGGGCCAAAACTTCTTCTCCCGCAGCCACGGCAGAGGATAGGCGGCCTTCTCCCTCGAGTAAGGCCTCTCCCACGTTCCCTCGCCGTCGCCCAGGATGACGTCCGTCTGCGGGTGCGGCGCGTTCTTGAGCACGTTGCCCTCGCGCGGCTGCCGGCCCTCCTCGACCTCGCGGATCTCCCCCCGGATGGCGACCAGCGCGTCGACGAACCGGTCGAGCTCCTCCTTGCTCTCGCTCTCCGTCGGTTCGATCATCAGCGTGTTGGCCACGGGCCACGACATGGTGGGCGCGTGGAACCCGTAGTCCTGCAGCCGCTTCGCGATGTCGATGGCCTCGACCCCGGCCGTCTTGGCGAACGGCCGCGCGTCCAGGATAAACTCGTGCGCGCACCGCCCCGCCTCGTTGGTGTACAGGACCTTGTAGTGCGGCTTGAGCCGCGAGAGCAGGTAGTTGGCGTTGAGGATCGCCATCTTGGTCGCCAGCCGCAGGCCCTTGTCGCCCATCAGCGAGTTGTACGCCCACGGGATCGGCAGGATGCCCGCGCTGCCGTACGGCGCGCTGCTGATCATCGCCTGCCCGTCCGCCGGGTGCAGCCCGGGGAGGAACGGCGCCAGGTGCTTCTTGACGCAGATCGGCCCCACGCCGGGGCCGCCGCCGCCGTGCGGGATGCAGAACGTCTTGTGCAGGTTCAGGTGGCACACGTCGGCCCCGATCTCGCCGGGCGACGAGAGCCCGATCTGCGCGTTCATGTTGGCGCCGTCCATGTACACCTGCCCGCCGTGCTCGTGCACCATGTCGCACACCTTCTTGATGTGCGGCTCGAACACGCCAAAGGTGCTGGGGTACGTGATCATGATGGCCGCCAGCTCCGCCGCGTGCTTCTTGCACTTGGCCTCCAGGTCCGCCAGGTCCAGGTTGCCCGTCAGGTTGTCGCACTCGATGGGCACCACCCGCATGCCCGCCATGGCCGCCGACGCCGGGTTGGTGCCGTGCGCCGACTTGGGGATCAGGCAGATGTCCCGCTTCCTGGCGCCGCCCTGCTGCTCGAGGTACTTGCTGATCACGCGCAGCCCGGCGAACTCACCCTGCGCGCCCGAGTTGGGCTGGAGCGTGGTGGCGTCCATGGCCGTGATGCCCGAGAGCTGGTCCTCCAGCTCCTTGACGAGCTTGAGGTACGCCGACATGTGCTTCGGGTCGGTGTACGGGTGAGGCGTGGCGAAGGTGTCCTTGGAGATGAGCGACATCTCGGTGGCGCCGTTCAGCTTCATGGTGCAAGAGCCGAGGGGGATCATGGAGTGGACCAGCGACAGGTCTTTCGACTGGAGGTGGTAGATGTAGCGCAGCACCTCCGTCTCGCTCCGGTGGGTGTTGAAGACCGGGTGCGTCAGGTAGTCAGACGTCCGCCGGAACGACGCCGGCAACGACGCGTGGACGCTGCTCGCGTCCTTGTGAAAGAGCTCGGCGGCCGAGTCGGAACTGGCAGCAGCCACCTCACGTCCCGTCGCCGAGGCGAAAGTGGCCGCCAGCCTGTCGAAGGCCTTGAGATCCGTGGCCTCGCCGATGCTGATGCCGATGTCGCCGCCGCCCAGCCGGCGGAAGTGGAGGCCCAGCTGCTCTCCCTTCTCGATGATGGTCTCGGCGAGATCTTCGCCGGCCTTCACCACCACCGTGTCGAAGAGGACCTGTCCATCCGGGCTGTTCCGAGGCTGCTCGACCTCGAGGCCGAACTGCTGGGCCAACGCCTGAACGCCGCGCGCGCGCGAGACAACCCTCTCGGCGATCTCCCTCAGGCCCTGGGGCCCGTGATAGACGGCGTACAGGGAGCTCATGTTGGCCAGCAGAGCCTGCGCCGTGCAGACGTTGCTCGTCGCCTTCTCCCGGCGAATGTGCTGTTCTCTTGTCTGCAGGGCCAGACGCAGGGCCGGGCGGCCGTTCCGGTCCTTGGAGACGCCGATGAGACGGCCGGGGATCTTCCTCTTGTGGGCTTCCGTGACGGCGAAGAAGGCGGCATGCGGACCGCCAAAGCCGAGAGGAATGCCGAAGCGCTGGGCGGTGCCGAAAGCGATGTCGGCGCCCCATTCGCCCGGCGGGGTGAGCAGCGTCAGCGCGAGGAGGTCGGTGGCCACGCTGAGGAGCGCCTTTTGGCCGTGGACGACCTCGGCCAGGGACCTAAAATCCTCGACGTGGCCCCTGGTATCGGGGTACTGGACCATGACACCGACCAAGTCGTCGCCCAGGGCCTGTATGCGCTGGTGGGCATCGGGGGCGGAGAGGTCCATCTTCTCGATCTTGATGCCGAAACCCTCGCTCCGACCCTGGAGGACGGAGAGGGTCTGCGGGTGGATCATATCGGAGACGACGTAGGTCTTGCCCGGCCGCTTCGCCCTGGATGTAGGTAGGGCGTTCAAGGAGAGGGTCACGGCTTCGGCGGCGGCGGTTCCCTCGTCCAACAAGCTCGCGTTCGAGATGGGTAGGGCGGTGAGGTCGGAAACCATGGTCTGGTAGTTCAGCAGGGACTCGAGGCGGCCCTGGCTGATCTCGGGTTGGTAAGGGGTGTAGCTGGTGTACCAGGCCGGGTTCTCCAGCACGTTGGTCTGGATGACCTTGGGCGTGATGCTGGGGTAATAACCGGCGCCGATCATGGGACAAGCATACGTCTCCCGAAGCTTCAGCTCGTCGGCCCGTGCCGCGATGTCGCTCTCGAGCAGGGGCTTGTCGCCATTGGGAACGAGGTTGGCTCGTTCAGAAAGAATATCGGCCGGAATGACCTGGGAGATGAACTCGTCGAGGGACTTGGCCTCGGGGGAGAGGGCCTTGAGCATCTCCTGGGCATCATGGGCGTCCGGGCCGATATGGCGGGGGACGAAGGATTGCAGTTCAGTGAGGGGCTCCAGGGACGGGTCTGAGATGGTGTCCTTGCCGAGAGCATGGGACTGAAGGGATGTGAAGCTGAAGTAGCGAATTCCTCGTCGTAGCGGGCTGGCTGACGATCGAGAGGTGATAGAGAGGTTCCTCGCTGTTGCCGAGGTCAATGTCGAGCGGCCGGCGACAGTGAGGCCAGAGCCAGCCACCCTAGCTGATGATATCCTCAATGGCAGCTGACGAGGGAGACATAACCTAGAGGAAGCCATTGTGACGAATAGGCCCTCCTCGGCGAAGAGAAGAGAGAAGAGACGAGAGTCAATGGGGGAAGGGGATGGGGGGGGAAGGGCGGAGGGTTAACGGTGAGCAGCTCCCAGCTATCCCTCAGGAAACTAAGACTCCAAATTGCGTATATCTTGGTCTCGGAATTGCCTCGCTTGAACTCAAGAAGCAGATAAGCAAGTGAGGTTCAAAGGAAATAGAAAAGGAAAACGGAATAAGGACAAAAAAAGAAAATAAAATGGAGATGTCGGTGAGAAATCGGCCAACCCGCCCCCCTCGTGTAAAGCAATCGGGGGACCTTGTCGGGGAGTGTATCGGGAGACCTTCCCAGGTTGTTTGTGGAGGGACGGACAGGAAACCTTGGGCGTCATCTTCGGCTGGGAACGGGACACAGATAACACTGTTTTTGACATGTGAGATAAGGTATATCTACAGTGTTGATGCGGTGTTTACGTCGGTATTCTGCATGTTTCGGGGACATGCCTGTACGTATCGTATCATGTACCCTGTCATTTTTGCTGACCAACAGCCGATACGAAGCATTTTTTTCGTGACCTGTGGCGGCCTTTCCCCCGACTCGGACCTTGCATTAGGTAACAATTTGGCAGTGGCTTTCGTTCGTTCCCGGGCCCGGTCGCCCGGTGCCGAGTCATCAAAAGTGGAGCTTATACTCAGGTCCCGCGGACACATACTTGTACGTTTCTCCACTTTCCCAGCTGGTAGCAGTTGCCGACGAAAGTACGTTGATACTGTAGAGCTCATGGTAGGTTTCTTATGTCATCAGCCTTGGGGTAAATTTTCGCTGGACCAAACGACGACGACATCAACATCCAAGGCGTCAATCATCAGGGTCAACTGTCAAACCTCGAATCAACGACCCACACAAACACCAGTCCATATCGACACTCTTCGAGATACATACATCTTAGATCTTCTCTCGGCTTTTGAAAACACTCAAGATGTTCGGAGGATGTAAGCAGACTATTTCCCCTTCCCTAGCCGACCATCTTTCCATCCATCCCTCAGAGCGCTGACCATCCATCCCTTTTTCTTTTTCTCTACTTTTAGTCGCACCCCCCCAGCTCTCCCCCGAGGAGATCAAGCAGATGGAGGCCGAGGCCAACTTCACCATCCAGCAGGTCCTCGTCTCTACCGTCATGCTCTACCTCTGTAAGTCCCTTCTCTAACCCTCCACCGGCTCATTGCTACCGTCCACTCCTTGCTACTGGCAACTTTCACCTGCTGACCTAGCTTGTTTCTCTCCTCAAAGCTCCTTTCGCCGTCAATGCCGTCTCCAGCATGTTCTAAGCCTCTCGAATACGAATCATTTCTTCGCTTTGTCACGTCTAGCTACAGGCTAGTAACAACCATCCAATTGCTCTGTCCGCATCACGATGGATATAGAGTAACAAGACTTCCCCGCAATCAACACACGGGGAGCTTCGCGAGTGCCACGATATCAGAACGAATGGCCCAGCATGTGCAGAATGGCACCAGTGTACAATATATTGTAGTATAATCGGCATCAGGGGCGCCGAAATCACCCCGCCCTTGGAATAGACAATGCGTCATGATAATTGGAAGACGGACATCTCCGGGGTTTCTGATGGTATCAATTGTGTCTCGTCTTCGCCGGTGTTCTTCCTCCCCATGCCACTATGTTACCACGCGACCTTCGTTCAAATAGAAACACGCTACGCCGGAGCCATAGCTTGAGCCGAAGCTCAATCGCCTACAAATCCTGCGGACCTTACATCGAACACAATGGTCCCTATCCCTCCCCGGCATAAACCATCGATATGCCTCTTCACCGCGCGTCCATCTCCTTCTCCCACAATTCATAATCTTTGGTGATGGACTCGATTTCTTTCTTGAGGTGCTGGATCTGCTTGCCGTAGTCTTCGAGCACCTATAACATTGTAAGCATGAAACAACATCAACTACAAGCGCGCCAGCCTTTTTTTTTTTTTTTTTTGGCACAGAGGACTGGGGAAGGACCAAGCCAACCCCCCCCAAAGAAAAAAAAAGAAAAAAAGAAAAAAAAAACATACCTTTTTAACCTTCCATTCCGTCTCCTCACCCAGGGTCTCCCCATTAGCCACAGCCGGCTTGCTCGCCTCCTTCAAGACCTGGTCGGCGCACTCCCGGATCTGGATCAGCCTGCTCCACAGCTCCTCCTCGCGCGCGCTCAGCGCCGGGTCCTGGACAGAGCGGTCCAACTCGGCCAGCTTGGCCCGCAAGTCGTCCTCGTCGCCGCTGAGCGCGTAGCCGCGGTTGCGCAGGACCTGGACGCGCGCCGCGAGGGCGAGGCAGCGCTGCCGCAGCGCCACGTGCCGCCGCCGCGCCGCCAGCGCCCGTACGCTCGTCTCGAGGTCGTGCCGCGACAGGATCGCGTCCAGGCTGGCGTTGACCTGGTGCAGCCGCACGTTGTGCTCGGCCACCACCCGCTTCTGCGTCTGCAGCCGGTTCGCCAGCCCCGCGGACCCGGCGCAGAGCACCGGGATGAATCCCTGCCCCGGCTTGTTCTGCAGCGCTTCCTCCCATTCTTTCGGGTCCTCGTTCGGCCCCGGCTTGTAGAAAGGGACCGCCGCTTCGTCCACCTTGTTGTAGAAGTAGTGGCGGAACACGCAGCTGGGGTCGTCCGGGTGCCACTTTCGGAACGTCGTCGCGATTTGCTCAATGGGCGGCTTCTGGTTTCCTATGCGAAAGAAAGAAGACCCAAGCGTTAACCGAAAGCCTTCAAAAGGGGGGCGGGTGGAACAAGACAGTTTGGGAGAGGACTGAAACGGGGCTGGGAAAGCAGTGAAAACATGAGACATACGTGGTGTATCATTCGGCTGCCACAGAGAGCTTGATAGCTGCGCCTGCGACTGCGCGAGAACAGGCATCAGCTGCGGTTGTTGTTGTTGTTGATGTCGTTGTTGTTGTTGGAGCTGTTGCTGTTGCTGAGGTTGCGCCAGAGAGCCCCCGAACAAGCTCGATGTGCCCTGGTTCTGCTGTCCCGCAAACAGACTGGTCGTACCCTGGTTCTGTGGTTGCTGCTGTCCACCAAATATACTTGTTGTGCCTTGATTTTGTTGTTGTGGTTGTCCGCCGAACAGACTGCCCGTCGCGGCAGGTTTCTGCTGGTTGCCAAAAAGACTCGATGTTCCTTGGTTTTGTTGGGTCTGTTGAGTTCCGAACAATCCGCCCTGCTGATGCTGCTGCTGCTGAGGTTGCTGTTGCTGTTGCTGTTGCTGTTGCTGCGGCTGCCCGAACAAGCTGCCACCGAAGAGGCTCCCGCCGCCGCTTTGCGCGGCCGGCTTTCCGAATAAGCTCATGGTCTCGATGAGGTGGAAGGTCTTTTTTTTTGTCGAAGAAGCAGAACCGGACGACAAGTAATTTTTTTTTTCTGTAAAAGGGCGGATGTTACGTTGAATAAGAGGAGGAATAAGCACTTTTTTCTTCCAGTGCCTGGCAACAGAACCCAAACGAAGGAGAGAATTGAGAGGATGAAAAGAGAATGGGGACGAAAAAGAAGAAAAAAAGGAGATGCTCGAATCCTCCAGTGAGAAGGAGAGGGCTTGATCTGGAAGCAGCCGCAAGTTTGGTTGTCCTGCCTTATCCGCACCTCTTAGCTCAATGTTGGCTCCCCAGGACGCGAAAACAAATTACAGCTGCTGGGAGCTGTAGGTACATATACAGAGTACCTTCACCGTGGCCTGACCGAGCAGCCTTGAAAGCACCAGCCAGCCTCGCGACCCACCCAGAACCGACCCAATCAGAAGCCGTCGATTCCAACCTCATCATGTCCAAATCGCAACCGGCGACTTCCCGGCATTGATACATCACGACTCGTTGTCCCTCGACGAATACCACCCCCTCAAAGTCGCAACCATGGCGAACCGACGGCCGCAGTACGTTCCTACGCCTTACTTCTGGTTCGGGGCTCAATTGACCCCGTCGTCCAATGCAATGGCCCCCGTCGAATCGGCCTGTCCGGCTAACTCCCTCTGCCCAGGTTCAATCAGCAGTTCCACTATGACACCACCCCCCTCCCGGACTCGATCCCCAAGGTCCAGGAGATCGGTGCCAGCTCTGCGCCCCTTCTCTCGGCCTCTTTCTTCATAGGCGCCCGCTGCCGCGACTACAACGATGACTACATGAAGTGCAAGACCGACGCCAACGGCCGGGGCGAGTTCGACTGCATGAAGGAGGGCCGAAGGGTGACGAGGTGTGCTCAGAGCGTGTACGTTTATATTCCTCCGTCCGGCTTTGTAGCACCGCTTCCTTCTTGTGCGAGGACGGTACCCTATCTACCGTCCCCTAGTTGGGCCGAAGCTGTCTCTTTCTCTATTTCGCCGCTGGGATCGAAGCTGATTTAGAGATGCCAATTACAAACTACAGGCTTTCTGATATCAACGCCCACTGTCTCGAGACATTCCGCGCCCACTGGAACTGCATCGAAAACAACAACCACCAGCTCTACCAGTGCCGTCCCCAAGAGTGGAAGTTCAACAAGTGTGTTTACGAGAACCTGGTGCGTCTCCTTCTTCCGCGGTCTCGCCTTGGCCACAGCATCATTGCCCCCATTCTTCCGCTTCAACGCAATCCCCAATGCGGTCAAGTGGGCTGACGATTTTTTTTTTTTTTTTTTTTTTTTTGCAGAAACTCGAGAAGACGATTCCTGACCAACGACCTGGCGCCATCCCCGTCGAGCTGAGACAACAACAGATCTACGCCAACCACTCCGTCAACCCCCTCGAATCCAAGCCCTTCATTCCGCCTAGCAAGGCCGAGGCTGCTAAGCAGGCCTCGTGAGCGCAGGCGGCGATGGAGAGTTGATTTTGTTTAAGCCCACTGGTGCCGTGTACGAATGGGGGGTTTTTTTTTGAGAATGGCGAAAGCAGTTGGCGGCGACGGTCAGATATAGAGCCGTGTAAATAGGGCATGCATCAAATCAAAGAATCCGTTTTCTCGTCACGTTTTTCGTCGTCTGGTTGGGTTTTGTTTCTGGCCTTGCTGCATCTGAATTACCTTATGTGTCGGCAAGACTATACGTTGTGTCTTAGCTTCACAAACCCGACCCAATTCCGTAGAGTGTCAAGCGTCTGGTTTCCGGTGCAATTATTGACGGAGGAGTAATTGGACAGCCGCCGTCCCCATTCTAAAAGCTGGTGAGAACCATTCTAAACCGTCGGTCTTTCCAACCCCTGCACGATGATGACGATATCAAACTTTCCTCGACAATGGGGACCACCGAGGACGTCACAACCTCAGTAGCTATGGGTTTATACGCGAGAGTGGTGACAATAGCAGCTGCTAAACTCACAGTCTCATGTGGATAGGCCCGTTGTAGTTTTGTGTGAAACTGTTGAATTAACGGGAGCGTGATTACAGGGAGCGTTGATTCAGGAAATGTATGATTATATTATCTATAAAAGAGAAAGAAAAAGGGGGCGGGTGTACGTGTCCTAAATATATCTGCCACCTTCTAAGCGAGGATAGTAGGGCACCTCTAACCAATAGGAGAGCACTATACCGTGGCTCACGTGATAGAATATAATATACCCCCTAATTATTACGCCGTGATTAACGGAACGATTACTTAGCCTGACCTTAACCTAGCCTTGTTTTTAACCTTAAAATAGCCTTAAAGGGTTATATAATACCCTTAATATCGAGTTAAAAGGCAGGAGTAAAAGCTGTAAAACAGTAAAGAATAATAATAATAGTAGTAAATAACAAAGGAAAAGTACTATTAATAGTAGTAGTAAATAGGTGATAGTAGGGCCTTCTGTAGATAAATTAAAGGCGTTATGCCGGCGTTTTGGAGCTTTTGGATCTTCCCTCTTATAACCCTCGTTCCGTTGTTTTTAAGGATTTTTTAACGATTTTGATCCAAATTTTCTAAATGTTTTCTATTAACAGTAATAAAAATAATAATAATAGCGATATAGTGAGTATCGGAGCTTTATTTTTAGTAGCGCGTGCTAACTAGTAGCGTTGTCTTAGGCTCCTCCTACTCTCTCGGCGGTCACTCGTGCGGCGGCGGCGAAAAAGGCTTTATCTAATAGCATTAAGAAGAATAAGGGTAAGGGTGCCGGTAAAAAGGGTGCTACTATAAGTTATTTTAGCGCGTTTATTCTGGATCTAATTACTCTAGACCTTAGCTAATTCTTAATAGACTGCTAAGGGTAGTGGTAATAATAATAATAACGATACCAACGACGATTTTATTCTAGTCCTATTCGAACCGCCCTGCCTCGAATACGTAAAGGGTATTTATTCTGGAAAATAGCGCTCCTTTAATTACTGTGTTTCCGTTCCTAGGCGCTCTAATAGGTGCTAAAAGTGTAAGGATAGAAACTATATATACCACCCTATATAAGTTCTTACCCCCTATCTAAGGCGCTTTACGATTATAATCGTGTGCTCTATTTCGTATTGGCTTAAAGATATATACGCTATTAAGCTTTACGACCGCTGACCTATGCTTATAGTTTTTCTAGCCTCGTCTTATTAGTTAAAATTCTATTCGACTATATTATAGTCCGAAAAATCGATAAAGACTCGGAGGACGATAATAAGAAGGTGCGTTTATCGCTTTATTTCTAAGGATAAAAGCTCTAACTAACTAGTCTCGCGTAGTTCTTCGCTAAGCTTAAATAGACGGTAAAGTTTATAATCAAGTTAATAGAGGACGACGATAACGAGAAGTTTTTCAGTAAGGAAGAACTTAAGGGAGAGTTAAACTAGCTCCCCGCTACTGCTTTAAGTAGTAATTCTACCTCCTAGCTCGCGGGAGTTATAATAGATATTTTACGGGAGAATAGTTTTATTATTACTCCTCCTACTGAAGGAAATAGCGTAAATATTACGCAGGATAGTGCTTAGGATAGCACTAATAGAGCTTAGTAACTTTACTGGTGTGCTCCGATATTATCTTTTTAGGGTTTTAGGATTTACTTTTAGGGTCTAGTATAGTATTATGGTATTAAGATAACGATATACCCTTCCTTTTACTGAATTAACTAAACCGCCGGCGCGTGGTGCGCCTAGGGCGCGGGAATTTCGACTTGAACTACTTCTTTCCACCCCCTCCGTGCACTGATTATATTAAGATATACTCGGAAGTTCTCGAATTTTTATCGTGGAAGTGCTTTTATTAATCCGTCCGCTAGTATTAAATTCGTAGTAAGATATACGACTCTGAATAATCCCTTTACGTTCTCCTACTATACCTAAAAGCGCTATATATCTATATAGCGAAGCCTAGTCTCGATCCTAAAACTATTATCGACTATTAGACGTATCGTTTACGTGTTATTATAGTGGATATCCTAAGGAGATTCTGGATTAAAGTGTATTTCGACGAAAAGACGCTTTAAACCTATTATTTCTTTCGCTACTTACTCTAAAGCGAGTAGCTCTGCTTCGGTTATAGACGTTATTACCGTTACTTACCTTATTGCTTTCTATATAACTAATCCACTAAATAGGCTAATAAGGTAACCCTGTAAAGATCTTCGTGTGTCTAAATCGTCTATAAAAGAGGCGTTACTTACGATAACTATCGCCTATAAACCAGTGCTTAATCCGTCCTAAATTAAGAGGTCCCTTATTATAAATAAAGAGCGGATAGCTTAGTCTACCGCCTTATAGTGCTCGGGAGAGGGGTTTCTAAGAAAGCGGGAGAGGATAAAGGCGGCGAATACTATATTAAGACGTATTATAACTACTATATAAAGCATTAATCCGACCTTTTCTTAATAAGATTTAATCTCTTAAGCGGTAGCTTCGTCTTCTCTCTTCCGGTATTCTATAACTACAATAGGGATTATTAGGTAGGTATTTAGAGCGTTTAATTTAAACCTGGCTACGATCTTTTCGATATATAAGTCGTGGGAGAGGAAAACCTTACGTCGAGGACGATCTTAAGTGATCTTAATACCTAAAAACTAATCGGCTTCCCTTTTTTCCGATACTTTAAACCTTACTTTAATTCCTTCAATAATCCTAAGGCCGTTTATAGCACTATGTCTATAAAATAATATAAGAATATCGTCTATAAAGAAGATAACGAATACGTCTCGAGCCTTAGTGTAGTATAGGCACGGTTCTTCCTTACTTACCTCTATCCCTAAGTCTGTTAGGGTGGCCGCGAAGGTCTAGAACTATAGTCTAGGCGAGTCGCGTAGTCTATATAGTGCTTTATCGAGCTCTAAGTACTTATCGGGCTGCTTAAATCTATCGGGAAGTTCGTATATAACGGGCGTTTCTGTTTTACTCCTTTAGGCGTTAACGAAGGCGTTAACGAAGGCGTTAACGATATTAAGTTACTTAATCTCTAGATTAAACTAAGTAGCTAGGGCTATAATAATACGAAAAGATCGTTTAGCGAGCGTTACTACGTAGGTTCCCTTAATTATTAAGCTCTCCTGTAAGTCCCCTCGAATATATAAGCGTGCTTTATATCGTTCGAGATATCCTTCTTAGTCGAACTTATAGGTAAAAACCCACTTTAACGAAAGAGGCTTTAACTTTACCTCTAAGCGCTTAATTTCCCTCTATATACGCTTCGTAATTAGCTTATTTACCTCCTTCTGTGCGGCTTCCTTAAACCGTTCACGTATCGGGTAGTTAATAAGCTCCCGCTAATACCTTAGTGTAGCCTTTAGGTAGTCGCGATAAACCCTACCGTCGATTAAGGGCTTCGGTGATGTCCTAGCCTCTCTTTTAGCTTTTAAACGGGTATTTATTTTAGTATCGACTACTCCGAGGATTATTAAATTAAAGGTTAGAAGCCCTTCTGGCCCGTCCTAGCGCTCTTCATATTAATTAGATAAGAAAAAGGCATAAGTTAAAGGTATATCTGGCTCTGCCTAATATATCCGTGGATTAATCCGAATAGTCTTTCCTTAAGCACGGCGATCGGTGATTCTTACGCTAGCGCGCGTTACTTCCTTTACTAGTAAACTCTTTTTCCTTTAGTGGGCGGTTATCTTAGGAGTCGGTCGGATAGGTGGTTTAGATCCGGACCCTATAGTGCGGCTAATACTATAGTACGGATTAGGGGTAGCTAGTCCTTATACCGTCGCCTACGTACTCCTTTCTATAGTTAAAATCGTCGAAGTGTCCGTATTAAGCTCTAGTATATATAATCCTAGCGTGTCAGTTAGGTGTCTTCTTAGGTGGCCGCTCCGTTATCTTATTAGTTAGAAGAATTATTAATTAAGAGTTCCTCCGAAGACTACGGCTCTACGCTTATAACCTGAAGATTTCTGCTCTAAGGATTAGGTATTACGCGTAGGGTTTAAAGTCCTATTACGGGCGGTTCGGGTATACTGGGTACGTCTATATCTAGTAGTAGCGAAAAAGCATTTATTTATGCCTCTACTACTCCTACCCCCGAGTTTAAACCCGTGGACTATGCTTATTCTCTAGAAGGTACGCTGTTAATTAATCTACCCGGAGGGTAGGCCTATAGGATAAAGTCGTTATCTTTATCTTCTTATATTTCGTAAGTTATAAGCTAGTTCCTCGCCTCGGGCTCCGGGATCTATTCTGCTTCTTCGAGCTATGGTTTATAAAATAGCTGCTCGTTAAACTGTATATTACGCGTTATAATAACCTTCTAAAGCTATAGAATCTATACTCGGTAAATATTATAGGTAATATAACCTATAAGATACCTAATATATCCCCTTAGTTAAACCTTATATAGTTTCCTATTCCTCCTAGCCTTATTATCCCTTGCTATTAGATAGGCGCGGTAGCTATAGGCATAAATACCACTCTAATCAGGGCGTTAGTCGGCTATATACTCTCTTATTAGAATCGGCGTATTCTTTCTAAACTATAAGTCGAGGATTTCTACTAGGGATTTTTATCCGTGTCATTATAAGGGACTTATATTATATAATAATACTACCGATCTAATACTCTCTAGCTATTTATCTAGCAGAATTCCTGCTCCGTTAAGTATAGCATTAGACTTT